AAGTAGCGAGACGCGCATTGCAAATTCCTAACATGAATGCCGTAAAACAATATCATATTCACCCTTCAAGCATGTCAACATGCCAATCGCCGTGCTGGGACCAAGTTATGGACGTTGCTGGCTTCGCGACCTCCTGGATCCACGCGCAAAAGCCCGACTGGTCAATACGGACTTGCTAAAGCCCGAAGCGGTAGAGTCAGCCAATGGCTCCCGCATCGTGAACCCCATCGAAGCGCTTCTCTGTACTCAACTCGTCGAAGCCCTGATTTCTACCGGAATCTCGCCGCGTGAGATCGGCGTCGTGACACTGTACCGCAGTCAGCTAGCGCTGCTTAAGCAGAAATTACGCCATCATCTTCCAGACCTTGAAATGCACACTGCGGACCGCTTCCAGGGCCGCGACAAGGAGGTTATCATCATGAGCTGTGTTCGAAGCAACGCGGACCACAATGTTGGTGAATTATTACGAGACTGGCGCCGGGTCAACGTTGCGTTCACCCGGGCCAGGACTAAATTACTTATCGTGGGTAGCAAAACTACTCTTCGAGACGGAAACGAGCTGCTAGGGAGGTTTGTTAAACTCATGGATGGGAAAGGATGGTGTTATAATTTGCCTCCGACTGCCGTGGAGAGCCATGTCTTCGAGGATTATGGTCCTACGCAGATTAGTCCGAAAAAGGGGCGACGGGAATCCGCGAGCCCGAAGAAGCGGAGTGCTTTGACAAAAAGCGCGGCGAAAAAGCAGCCTCGAGCGGTGTTAAGCCCGGTAAAGAGCCGGGGGAATCTGTTTGGCATGGGCGGTAGGAAGGCGGAAAAAGCAGGAGATAAAGTGGCGCATGCGGAAAAGATGGTAAGGAACAGGCCTCTGTTGAGAGATGTGTATAACGATTTGCTTGGATGAGTTGCCCTTTTTTGGTTTATTAAGTATATTTTCTGGATGTTTAGCTTTGGTCTTAGGTTTTGCATGGCTTTTGGGCAGGAGACTACTGGGTATAATGCTGAGCATCTGGGTATAACTGATGTGCTATTTTATATAGTTCAGTGCACTTTGCATTGAATGAGGTTCGAGTATCTATGCAACCTGAATGTAACCATTTGCGTATAATCAAGAGGCCGACCATGGACGGCCAACATACTCCCAACACACGAATTTTCTCTGTGGGCGGCCCGGTGTTGGAATATCACCTTCAATAGACTCTGACTGAGTAGAAGGGAGCACCAGTATTGTATACCCATCTTTTCCTTGTACTGCTTCTTTTCCCAACGCATATGAAGCCATTGCGAACCAGGAGTTACGATTTGCCGTGGCACGCCTCCAGATGGTGTCAGTTGTAGTCAGGATTAATACGGATAGGATGGGCTATCTGACTTACAGTGTGACTGTGAATAACTGTGCAATCCATTGACTTGGGAGTAAGCCTCTCCAAGTTAGTTTGACAACATTCGAGGGCAGGGAATGCTCCCGATCGGGTACTTGGTAGCGACTTAGATAGGGATCAATCAAGTCGTCTGCGTGGAGACGTTGAGCTCCTAGGAACGCAAGCGCAAGCCATTCTTGGATTTCGGCACAGGTATCACGAAGCGCTGAGGTGTCTTGATCGTCTTCTACTTCGAAGGTTGATGGACTCAGGGGTGGGGTGAGAATATTTTGCAATGTCGATTTCGTCTGGGCGCACGAAAGGATTTGAGGAGAATGCTTTTGAATGGGAGACTCTGATAGCATCGTTAGAGCCAATTTCCACCAGGGGGTTATTGAAGCAGGACGGGGGTATGACCTTTGCTTGATAGATTTGGGAACGGCGATAGATCACAAAACAGCCATGCCACGGACTCGTTCAACACGTTCTTGAAGGCCCATACAATGCGTTCGAATCCTTTCTTGCCATGGAGCATAGAAGGCAGGCGGAGATTTATTTCAACAACTTGATTAGGTTCGGTTAGATGGATATATCTGCAGAGAAGATGCCATATTGGGAAGCATACCATATCTTGATGCTACGTGTTTTTTACCTCCACTACGAACTGGTTTGCCAACAAGGCCTGCTCGTTCGTATGAGCTTTTGTCGAGCTCCAATCTAAGAATGCCTGAGCCGCGCGGGCGGTTGTCAGTCGTGGAGGACCAGAAAAAGCGATAGGGCCAAGCATGCCATTTCGAAGAGAATACACTTTATCGACGCCACTTCTTCCCTCCGAGATCAGCAAGATATTACCTGTAACAGTTGTTAGCAAGATGGTAAATCAATGAAGCCCAACTCGGATCCACCAGCATATCAACCTACCAGTTTTCAGGTATTTGTTGAAAAAGTCTCCCTCCAGGATATCTGCGAGAGACATAAACACTTTTGCATATTGACATGAACTGATTTTACTTGAAACCGTATCCCAGACGGTTTGATAGATTTCTTCTGGTAAAATGAGCTCTGTCTGAGGGACTGTCAGCGGATCACACCCCGATCTGTGGAAGAAGACAGCTGGGAGCTGAAGGCATACCGAATGAACAAACGGGTGCCCGGAGAATGCCGAAAAAGGAGACTTCTTGGTTGGTATTTGTTTAGGCTCAACATAGTGCGGAAGATGCCCAATTGTTGTATAGCAGATTTCTCGGTCTAGCGCTGAATCGTTGATATCAAACATTGTGCTGATCAAATGAAGGCCTCAGGGATGGGAATGCAAGGAATGATGAATGGACAAGCCTAGTTTCCATACATATGCTTCGCTGCTGAACAGTTCGTCCTGCCCGAATACTGTGTCTGGACTTTTGATATTGGCGATGAGTTCTGAACGCGCCAAGAAAAAGCCCAGTGAGGTAACTATTCGGTTTCGCACTATCAAAGTCACATCGCCAGCAGAGATCCAGGCTGAACACACAGAGACACTTGGGATGAGAACTTTTTCAGATATTCCATGTGCTTGCTCCTTTCAATTCTCAAATGGACTTACGACACTGGGGATCCTCCATCAAACACCTCACATCACTCATCCTCATTAGCACTATAATCATTCTTTTTGTCGCGCCTTCTAGCATCCCCCAACTACGGAATGGATTCATCTTCCGGACCCCAAGCTTGCCTGTCAGCGGAGAACTTGAGGACTCAAACCCTGTCTAATATAGAACGTCCAATATTGGCAGTAGGGGCTGTGGAAATCATATAGAATGTTATCATGGAACATTCACTTTGGCTGGCGGCCGTAGAGACGCTAAATACCAAGGCTACTACCAGGCGCCGAGCCTGAGCAAGCGGACTACGAGACCATCCTCTGCGGCGGAATCGGGCCAGCTTTCAATTGGCTTTAATCGTGTGGCATCAAGATGGATAGATTTCATGGCGATGAACAAGTCAAGTACGATCCCACCGGCAGGCTTGCAAGGTAGGGAGTGGCCCAAGTGAGGGATGCTTTACGCAATGTGAATCCTGAGGACACTGAAGTGCACCTAATATATCCTTCCTGGGCCAGATATCTGCTGGCGCTTGTTGCTTTGGATGCTCCCAAGCTTGTTGACCGCCTGCAAATGGGAACGTCTTGCAAGGTCATTTTTCAAGATGCGCCTGTCACACTCTACCAACTAATAATACGTTTGATGGATGCGAAGGTATGCTTTTGTCGGATGTGAGAGGGCCTGGATTCGGGGAGGAAGAGGATGGAGCGCATCGTCAGCCATGTATCAAGTGAGTATCCTACTAAACTGCCTAACCGGAGTTGTTATCAGCAGCTGATAACCTACCAGGGTAGTCCGTCCCAGCCTCTCCTAGCTATGGCATTTCCCGGGAGCGAAGTGGTTGTGAAAATGGATCCTTGATATCCCAACGCTAACTACTGCATTGGTCTAAACTGATGAGGACACCCAACATCAATGAGACTTGTTTCTCTTGCTCAACTGCTACAACTGTAAGCTACTAGCTAATTGAGTATACGCAATTTCCGTGTTGAATTTTATCGACTACACCTGCAATCGATTTCCCTCACTCGTTCCGCCAGCGCGCTCTTTCCCCGTTTTCACGTTCAAAACGCCCAATAGCAGCCTATTCTAAAGAAACTGCGTGTATAGAGGACAGGCAGTTTCTGCCTAAAGGCATCTGACTACCTAGAAAATCGAAAGCGGCAACGATTTTCCCGTGCCCGGCGACAATCTCATGGACACGCAGTGTTGGTGAATTCGAGATATTGCCCGCATCTCCCCGATCGTGGCTCGCTTTCTGCGTATATGCCCAAACTCTGCCTGGCCTTGGGAAGTTTACAACTGAATGAATGCATGCTGCATATTTGAGAATCCTGGACCGGTGGACCGACTGATAGAGATCTGTGCACTTACTCGAGGACGCTACGCATCCGTTTATGGCCATGGATATCCCATCAACGATAGGACTACATTTGAGCCGAAATTCACCGACGCCTGCAGGCCGGCATAGAACGACTATACTGTTCCCCTTCTGACTGAGAGCATGGATATCTAAAGACGAATCGCAGTTCGCGCCATGCAAGTTTAGGGAGAGGGCTCGTACAAAGGCGGAGAAGGTCCTGCAATAAACTATTGTAAGTCGTCATCATACATTTCCCCGTTCGCCCTTCATTTTCATTACGTTCGAAACGCAAATATCTTTCAACCTTGTTGGATCCAACAATCCCGAGCCGCCGATTGTCATTAAACCATACTGTTCTAGAATATGGCCGGCTGACGGAAAGGGAAGTCAAAACGAAGCAACAGTGGGTGCCCAATCTTGGATGCCTGGTTGAATGCACTTTTGGGTTTATATCACCTTTCCTCCCTACCAGCTAGCTAGGATCTACAAGCAACATATCAGGGAATCCAGGCATCCGGATGATTTATCCCATGATATTGCGAGTTTCCTACGCGGGGTTGAAATCTAGTTGTACGGTCGGGGGCTGTGCGCATCGTGAGTTTATATCCTAGACCAACATCGATTTTACTGTTTGCTCACATATTGGTGTAGACACCCCTCTCTGAATACTGTTTATCATATGCAACGAGGACATTTTCGTTGTCTATGCATGTTTATCAGAGCGCAAGGGCCAACTGTTCCCACCTTCAAACCTAACTACAAGGTGGCATTGTCAAAAGGACTGAACAGTGATAATCAGCAGAGGGTGTGAATGAAATTGGATTATTAATTGGCGGAAGCAATGAACAAGTGATGTTTTGGTTTCTCTGGCTGATCAGTTGAAGTGCAAAGCATGCTATGAGCATTGACAGTAGCAAGCAATGATTGAGTGACACTTGTCAACCACAGTTGATAACAAGGGGGCTAGCACACCATGCGCGGATATTTATTCTAAACAAGCCAACTACTTCACCCCAGCAGCATTCCTATGCAGCATCAGTTGTGATCAGACTCACGGCCTGGCTCATAGCATGCTCTAGGTTTTGAATTCAGTTCTCCCGGGGTGCTCTGGACACCCTGCATGATGCAGATTGTAGGGATGCAGAACCTACTATGGAGAGATGCATTTGTGAAGCTCTGTGGCAGTGTCTTTGCATTTTATTCCCCACTACACCCACACGATATCAACTGACAATATGTTCTAGTTCCTTCCTTACGCATGGATACTTGGAAAGAACATCATCGGCATACCCTGCTTTAGCATCAGGGTTTTTGAAGTGATTCCGGCGCAGCCCAAAGTGTTTGTCAAAGCCGTGACCTGCCAGGGGAGCCGGACTGACAGGTAAAAGGAAAGACCAAGATCTGCAAGGATTGAGCATTTTCTTTGTTTTTTCCCTGCCCAGTTCCTTTCCCTCGGGTGCTGTTAAAGCAGATGGAAATAGTGCAAAAGAGTCGCTTTTCTTCCTGCGCCGACCCGTTTTGCTTGGGGATCATGAGCTCTCCGCTCTCTGATGCGTAAAACTTGACGATGCAAGTGAACCAGGGTCGAATGCATATGGATTTGATTGGCGGATAGAGTATGAGGTAGGGTTGACACTCAGACCATATCGAAATCTTACAACCCGTCTTTTCCTCGCGGACCGCTGCAACCACTCCGTTTACAACCAGAAAGGGGGGCCACATCCATGGCCGATCACCAAGCAGACTGCGGGTGTTTTGATATCTGGCGGCCACACCCCGCATCTGCTGTCTGAACAATATGCCGCTTTATCAATGACATCACGCAATTGTTTTCCGGCAAAGAAAGGGAGGCCGAATATAAATAGCCCTTCACATCCTACCATTGTCATATCAGTTCGAACAGCATACCTTGAGCACCAGCACAGTATCCTCCACAGCTTTCAGCGAATCCATTGACTTTGTTGCTTACTAGCTTCGGTCAGTAACTATGCTAGAGGAATGCTGAAGCACTCTCATTGACGTCTAGCTATATAGGCACCTGATATCACGAAATAACCATGGCTTCTGAGTTAGTGAACTTGTCAAAGACCGCTATCAACAGCGGAGATTTTTCCGTCCTTCAAGGGCAGACTTTCTCTGCCGCTTTGAACACTTCCGCCGATGCGCACGCAGGACTCCGACTGATCCTGACCCGATTGCTTCTCGACATCTCTCAGAGCTACCGGGCCTTCTCAGACCGGGTTGCCACCCTGCAGAAGGAGCAAAAGAACAAGGAGGCCTTGCAACAGATGATCCGGGCCGCATCCGTCGAATTCCAAAAGAATGCGGAACGTCTAATTGACCTTGCCGGATACGAGGCAAAGATGATCGTTTCTCATCTCCCCGCGAACGCTCAAGCTTCCAGCCAAAAGTACTTCGACGCCGGATTGGCTCGTGCGACGGTTTACCTCTCGAAGATCTGGACGGAACGTGTCAACGCGGTTTTTGCGGCTCTCCCCAAGCTTTTGGAGGGCGACTTGAGCGTGCTCACGGTGTCTTTCGACTATGTAGTCAGGGAAACCGACGCTGCGGTTTTCGCAAACTAGACCTGGCGCTGTTGGCAGGGCCTGAATAGTCACATTATTTGTGCTATCAGCACCAATCGCCAGATCATGATTCTTTCGGGTTCTATTCAAGTTGGCTCTACAGTTTGGAAGGTCAATTACTACATTGTTCACAGCCTGTGCTATGCCAACTGTACATACTGGTTTTGAGCATAATAGGGAGTGCATTCCTAAGAAGTGGTATAGGCAGTCCAATGCAAACTATCTTGGGTTATCAAAAGTCATCCTCTTCTGTGAAAACGTTCGTAGTTATCGGGCATTCTCTCATGCGGACCCTCGATAGGCCCCCAAGTCCCCGGGGGTAACTTAGGCTCGAGAGCTCCCTGCTAGCCCCTAGAGGTTAGAAGGTGTTCAGACTTGGCCACAGGCGGAGGGAATCCGCCAAGAAAACCCATCCTCAGCACCACTTCAATCAAGTAGCTTGAAGTCATTCCAGCTCAGATTCACAGCTGCTGGAGGTCTAGGGCCAAGCAATGGTCTCTTGACTGTCGCTGATACAGAGCTGTCGAGCCCCAAGTAATTTACTAATTACCTAGTTGGCCAATTGCTAGTTAACATGGCTACTTTCTGAACTCCAATTCCGAACACAGCTTCCGGCGATTTCGACGCTTCATGCTCTCCGCCGACAAGATCCATCTCACGTTGACTGGCAGGTCCTCAAAATGCCTCCTGCTCCTCCGTCCCAGCTGATTCCCAAGGACCGATTCAGTTATCTGTTCGGGAGATTAAGAACCCAAAGCTATACAGATCCCAACGCGCGCGGGCCTGGCTCTCACAGGTAAACACCACCCCTCTCTCGTTATATTTTTTTTTTCTTGCCAGTCGTCTGATTTTCACCAGCATTCGTACTCTAGCATGGAATCCTACTGGCCTTTTGATTGCAACGGGCTCTGCCGACCGTACACTACGTATATGGAATCCTGAGCGCCCGGAATGGAGGTATTCGACCGAGTTACGCGGACATTCCTCCGGGATCGAGCAGGTTGCTTTCAATCCCGTCAAAGAGTCTGAGCTGGCGAGCTGCTCGACTGACGGAACTGTTCGATTCTGGGACGTGCGATCCAAGAGTTGCGTCAGTCGCATTGACGTGGGCGGAGAGGCGTTTACTCTCTCGTGGGCTGCCGATGGCAGTGCGCTTCTCGTAGGAAGAATGGTATTTTCCTGGCCCTATTGCTTTGTTCGCAAAAGCGTGCGATGTGGCCTAGGATCAAGCTAACCAGGTCGTACATTTGCAGGATGACACCCTAGTCCCGATATCAGTCGACTCTACATCCTCGCCAATCATCAAGCCACCCACGACCGAAACCGCCAAAGGAACACTATCGTCACCACTCTACAAATCCCTCCCTCCCCACAAACAACCCGTCCGCACCAACGGCACCGCATTCTCCTACTCCGCCTCCAACCCCGACCTCTTCCTCACCACCGGCGACGGCACGGTCCAAGTCGTCACCTACCCATCCTTCACCCCTCTCCACACCCTCAACGCCCACACCGCAGCTTGTCTGTGCGTCTCCCTCTCTCCAACAGCCCGCTACCTCGCCATCGGCGGCGGCGACTCTTTGATCTCCCTCTGGGACACCACGGACTGGATCTGCAAGCGCACTGTGTCAAGTGCGGGCGGAGGCGCCGTGCGCGGCATCAGCTGGAGCTGGGATGGACGATTCATCGTCGGTGCCTGCGAGGAGCACGATTGCGCCGGGGTGGGACTGGAGATTTTCCATGCGGAGACGGGGGATAGTGTCTTCACCGTTCCGACGGACGCGTCGCATGTTGTTCCGGCGGTGGCGTGGCATCCGTCTAGGTATTGGTTGGCCTACTCGGTGTATGCAGACGGTTTGGGGGCGAGCAGTAATGGGCTGCGGATCGTGGGCGCCGCCGGTGGCGGGCTGTGATTTGTGATTTGTTGAAACGGGAAAACTGATAAAGTAATCTTCTGGGAACTTTGAGCGCTTCTGTATGGTGGATCCGGGTTGTGGCGTCGTGTAAAAATGTCGAATCGCTCTCAGAAATCTGACAGTTATTAGATTTGTATGGGTATTCTAATGTATAGTACATCCAAAATATGTCGGGGGAAAATAGGAGAGCTTGATGGATTGAACCCCGGTCAAGTACGTATATTCCGAACGTCAAATATGTAACCACAGTCGTAGATATCATGTACCAGCGCCAGAAAAAATCAACGCAAGAAAACGAGAAAAGCTCGTTGTATAACGCCGGGAAACTCCATCTCTCTCAGTCCTAGACATCCAGTCGCCTGGGCGAGGAAGAGCCGCGCCATTCTTCATTAATCATTCCATGATCCACTAAGAGATGTGGCCGGGTATTTTGCACAAGTAGTTGCGGATCTAGTATCGTCGGCCTTTGAACCCCCGGTCAACTAACCAACAGTAATTGCCGGCTATCAATGGTTCCAATCCGAGGGCATGTTAGTGTTCTGCATCCAACTGAGATCGTCGAACGACATAAGATCAATATTTTCACTTGAATAGTTCGCAGTTGTGGGAAAGGAGCTTCCTCCTTGAGGTTGAGACTGAACTGGAGTTTGGGTCGGGTTTTTCGAGTGCTCTTGTTGGGTGTGAATCCACGTTGTAGGGAAAGTGAATGTGTCTGGAATTGTGGCATTCTGGGTGTCTGCGAAAGGCATGAAATTGCTGGAGATACCGAGATTGCCAAGATTGGATGATGGTGTAGAAAAGCCGATGTGCGAGCAAGACTGGGGTGGTTGGTGCTGTTGCTGAGGCGGCGAAGGCATCTCAACATTATGGGGTGAAGACGAACTATTCGAGGATGTATTATGGGTGTTGGGACTTGAATGATTAGTTGTGGATGGCTGAGGTTCGCTCGAGATGCTTATGTCGGTTGATATATCCAATTCTAGGCCGAATGCTCGCAAATGTTCGTCGGTTAAAGTTGTGAAATCTGTGGATGTCTGCATACTGGTAAATAGATGGCGATGCGGCGAATGTGAAACATGCCCTTGAGCTTGTTGCTTTGGGGTGGCCTTTTGGCGACAGGCAAGAGGGGTGGAGTTTAGAAGGCCCGTCTGTCCAGGTGGGTTTCCGCAAGCGTTGCCTGAGTGCAATGACTGGGCTTTCGTCGTATCGTCCAAGTTAGTTTGATTTTTGTCGTTCTGTACGAATTCGAGTTAGAATGTGCACTCTTTGGCCCAAATCATCATCGGCTCAAAACATACGGAGTTAAGATCTGTGTGTAGGCTACACGACATCGTCGAGCCCATCCTGTCTAAATTGCAACTTTCAAGGTCGAACTGCAGTTGGACAAGGAAAGACTGGCTTAGCGGAAGTTTACCCTTCAGTGCAGACAGCGCAGAAATCAAAAATTGGAGTGATGAGCGGATCGTTGGGTCTTCAGATCGCGACCTGAGATATTGGATGAAGACTCTCGCTGCTACATATAGACAAAATGTGAGGAATGGGTTCATCTGTTACCTGGGAGTTAGACGCTGCTTTTCAATGTCACTTTGGAACAACGTACAATTGTCAAGTCAAAATGGCTGGTCATTTTCATGATAGTAGTGACCTGATCTGCCGCAATTATACAGCGGCGCTTACTTTCAGCGGCGATCTGATTGGGCATTTCGTTCTTTTCCGCTTTGAAAATTGCAGCTTGATGAAGGCAAATGGTAGAAGTGTGAAGACACATGTTGCAGAAGACAACGTTTGGGTCGTTAATGCCTTCTGGGAGACGCAAGTGACTGGGAAGAGAAAGAGACGTGTTAAGAAGAATGCTGTCCAGCGCCCGATGGCGCTTCCAGAATTCACCGTTAAGGTCGTGATCTTTGTCATTCGCTGAAGGACGGTGTAGGTGCTGGAGATTCCTACCAAGGTGACATGTGATAATGACAATGGCCGCTAAAGACGAGAGTGTAGAAAATCCTTGGCCTGATAAGGCATCGGAAAGTGGTATGGTTTTCTCTTCTCGGCAGTTGAGAAAGGCTTCGTCGGAAGCGGGAAGACAAGTCAGAATCTGCATGCGGGGGGCGTTAGTATGGCCTTGAGCGGTGTGAGGATTGGAATGGAGATTCAAAAAGTTTGCGTACATCTCTTTCATCCACCATCATCGGCCAGCCCGTTCCGATTGAAGCATAACGGTCCTGGCAAAACGCCAACCAGAATGCTCGTCTCCGTTCTTCTCGTTCAGTCCAATCGCGAGGCGGCGGCAAGCATTGTTTGACATCTAGGCCAAGCCCATCTTGCCGATGAAGCCCCATCATCAACGAGAGCCGTGTGGCTCTGCCCGTGCTCATCCACGCTCGAGGGAAATACATCATCTTAAACTCATAAGAACCAATCAAAGTCCAACACTGAGAGTGGGCAATTTTGAGAATCGACTCGCCAAGCCCTTTCATTTCGTCTAACTCTACGTATTTTCGCGCGCGCTGATAAAAGTGTGGATGGAGAGATTGATACCGCTCTGTGATGGCCGCTGCGTGTGCCCACATGATATATCGTAGGCAGATTGGAGGTCGCATCAACGGAGCAAGGCTCATTGCTGCGTAATAGCGAGGTTTGTGGATTAGAGGGCACGTAGGGTGGACTTTTTGGAAGTAAATTTCATTCCTGAACAATTATCAGCATTCAGTCACTGACACAACACTTCTACCACGGAGGACATACAGATCATCGATAATTTCTGGCGCAGGCAGGGATTCTTCCACCCCAAGGCCAATCATTCCCCAAGGAACCTCGTCTGACATTGACAGGCTAGGCTCAGAAAAGGCGCCAGAGTTCGAAGGCATATCCACAAACGTTGGAATGGGCGGTCCTTGGTCTGGCGAATCCGACCCGATAGATCGCTTGGGGTCGCTATTCGTGCTATGAAGCAATCCTTGATATGAAGTATCCCGCGCAGAAGCAGGATTCTGCGAATTGTCCGCAACATCTTGTCCTTTGAGGAGGGTCTCGACTTGAGCTGTACACAGAAATCGACCTGTGTGTCAGCATTGATCTCCAGCGGGAAGAGATTCGGTTCCGTTGCGAAGCGCATACCTAGCCTGGCCTCCAGTTGCTTGACATAACCCCGTTTCGGGCCACTCTTCTTCCTCGCTTCATTGTATGCACATTCATGGCCCAGGCGGGCGCAGCTCCCACAACTAGGCTTCTTGCCATCGCAGCGCAGTTTCCTCCTTCTACAGACCATACACGCTATCCGCTTGGGACGTGGAACGTACGGGGTGCTCTCGTTGGGCTGAGTAGCGTTCGCACGGGCATCTTCCGTCTCGTTCCCCACGGCCCTGTCAGGAGCCGCATAGGTTGATGGCGTTTGTTGGGCGACGGGCAGATCGCGAGGAAGCGGCAGCTGGGATGACTTGACGGTATTCATGCTGCTCCACAGACGGGGGGTTCTGCAACGGAGATCCTCGAACTCGCTTAGCTACCGCCCATGCAGACAGCTATCCAGGTCATTCGTCTAGAGCACAAAAAGTAAAGGCACAGAGAACAGAAGAAAGACGCCTTCCAAGCAGTCACAGGCCCATCGTTGCCCAACGCCTGGCAGAGCGTGTCGAGTCGTTTGCTTCTCAATCAACGCCCGACGTTCAAATCTGGTTACGTCAGCAAACCCGGACTAGCGACTGTTGATGCCTGGGACGGCCCCTAGGCCCGATGCGGCTAGCGCAAGGCACCCCCTGCGCGTTTTGTTCATCGCGCAGCAGCCGAAAAGCCAAAGGGAAATCGTCCATCACGACAACAACGCTCGCTGCAGCACACACCATGAATGGCAGCTTTCTTCCACCGACCTCGTGCCCCGAGCCAGATCGCCGTCTCCAGGGATTGCCAGCTCACCTCCGCCAGGCATAAAGTTGCAGTTTGATTGCTTGCCTGCCTGCCCAAAAGTGAGGATGAACGCCCCTGGGGGTGACCGAACTGAGCTCCTCTACGAGCTAGGTTTGTCAGAGGAAGAAGAACTCCTGCTCCTCGAGAAAGAATCGTTTGAAGCGCAATATTGGCTTGAAAGACGCAAAGATCAAGAACATCGCGATGAATCTCTAGCCAGGGCGATCCAAGATAGTCTACTCGAATCAGACTTCCCGCCGCAATCCCCAGCTCCCCCTCCCCCGGCCCAATCGACCGTCAATCGCGAACCGGCACCTTCGATACGAACGTCTTCGCCACCCGCGCTCTACATTCCCCAGCTTTCTATGAGAGGGTTGTCATCCAACACAAGTCATAGACCCCGGAACAATACTGCCCGGACTGCTGCGGACATCCAGCAGGATCTCATCGATCTTACAGGCAGTGGCCCTGCTATTTCCGGCAATCGCGCCATACCATTGGGCTTCGCGCCGGCCCCCGCCCGCGGCAGTCAATTGCCTCAACAATTTCCATCGCCTATGTACGATTTCAGTGACCCTCATTCACTACCGAGCCTGCCTCCTGGCCACGCTGGACTTGAAGCATATCGCCAATATGCCTCAATGCCCGGAAACTTTCCAGCTCCTGCAGCCAACTTTAACCCCTACTACCAGCTCAACTCCATAAAAGGCCAAGAGCCGCCCTTACCTTGGAATGCCAGCGCAATTCATCCACCAGGAAATATTATACAGGACTACGATGGCCCTTCCAATCCTGCTGAAATGAAAAAGGAATTGGAAAGTCTCCTCGAAAATATTCGCCCTGACGAAGATCTCAAATGTAACGGTCAGAGTACACCCGAGGCTATGAAATTTAAATTAATGGAGCACCAAAAATATGGGCTGGCGTGGATGAAGGCAATGGAAGAAGGCTCTAATCATGGAGGTATCCTGGCCGACGATATGGGGTTAGGGAAGACCATTCAAGCGTTGGCACTCATCGTCTCCAGGCCGTCGCCCGATCCCGAGTTAAAGACTACCCTCGTCGTTGCGCCTGTCTCGCTGATGCATCAGTGGAAGCGCGAGATCGAACAGAAACTGAAGCAGGGCCGCCATCAGCTCTCCGTTTACATTCTCCATGGCGATAAGAGGGGAACTTCTTTTTCAAAATTGAAAAGGTGCGATGTTGTATTAACATCCTTTGGCACTCTTGCCTCTGAGTTCAAACGTAAAGAGGAACTAGAGAAATATTTCAAGGAAAATCCTGCCCGTCGCGATGATCATTCGCTGTATGCACAAATGCCTATCCTTGGAATTCTATCCAAATGGTACCGTGTCATTGTCGACGAAGCCCAGTGCATTAAGAACAAGAATACTAAGGCCGCACGAGCCTGCTATGCCATCAGGTCCACCTACCGATGGTGCATGAGTGGAACGCCGATGATGAACAACGTGACAGAACTTTATTCTCTTCTTCGCTTTCTTCGAATTGGGCCGTATAACATGGCGGAAACGTTCGACGCTGTAGGTAGATGTGATTGACAGCTGCTTGTTCGCTTACTGATTTGTCTACAGACGTTTACTCGGCCTCTAAAAAGCACCGAGAAAGAACAAGAGTTAGCCATGAGAAAACTGCAGGCGTTATTAAAAGCTATCCTCCTTCGCCGAACCAAGTCCTCAAAGATCAACGGGAGGCCAATTTTGCAGCTGCCGCCTCGCACAACCGAAAAGGTGCATGCAGTTTTTAGTGAGGATGAACAGTTGGTTTATTCAGGCCTTGAGGCAAAGACTCAAATTCAATTTAATAGATACCTGGACGCTGGGACAGTCGGTGCCCACTACTCAAGTGTCTTGGTGATGCTGCTTCGGCTTCGCCAGGCCTGCTGCCATCCACACTTGATACAGTTTTTCAACGACGATAATAATGTCAATCTCTCTAATGTTGATTTAAAGGCCAACGCTAAATTGCTAAGCCCCGGGGTTGTTGCTCGCTTGAGGGAGAATGGGAATTCTGAGTGCCCTGTTTGCATCGATGCCGTGGAAAATCCCATTATTTTCTTTCCCTGCGGACACAGCACTTGTGCAGAATGTTTCGCAAAAATATCTGATCCGTCTCGAGGCGTAGCCGAAGGCACCGATGGGGCTTTTGAAGTCAAATGTCCAAACTGCCGTGCAAAAGTTGACCCAAAAAAGGTCACCGACAGCCTGTCGTTCCGAAAAGTTCATTTCCCTGGGGACGATGATTCTAATGAGATTGATGCCCGGAGCAATTGCCAGGAGGGTGATAGTGAAGACGATGATTCGGATAGCGATGGCCTAGACGATTTCATTGTTGACGATGAGAACGAGGATGAGGATGCAGACCGTTCCGGATCGAAGAAAAGAAAGCGCAAAGCTAAAGTTGGCAACAAGAAAAATCTAGCGACGCTGAAAAAGGAGTCCCAAAAGAATGCAAAAGCAAAAAAGCGATACTTGCGGCGCTTGGAGAAGAGGTGGGAGACAAGTGCTAAAATTGAAAAGACGCTCGAAATTCTCCGCGAGACTGAAACCCGTGGCGAGGGAGAGAAAACAATCATCTTTAGCCAATTCACCACCCTACTTGACCTCTTAGAAGTTCCCATTATGAAAGAAGGATGGAAATACAGGCGATACGATGGCAGTATGAGCCCCATCCAGCGAAACGAAGCAGTGTTGGAATTCACCGATAGTCAAGATTGCAAGATCATGCTCGTGTCTTTAAAGGCCGGTAACGCTGGGCTTAATTTGGTTGCTGCATCCCAAGTCATCATCTTCGACCCCTTCTGGAACCCGTACATTGAAGAACAGGCCATTGATCGAGCCCATCGCATTGGGCAAACTCGGCCAGTTATCGTGCATCGAATCCTCGTGGAAAACACAGTTGAGGACCGCATCCTGGAGCTGCAGGAGCAGAAAAGAGAACTGATTGAAAACGCGTTGGACGAGAAAGCGAGTAAAAGCCTTGGTCGGTTGGGAACTCGTGAACTTGCGTTTTTATTTGTAAGTTGCCTTTTGCCGCTTGGGGACCAGTTATATGACAGTGACTTACCTTTCGATAGGGCCTTGCTTCCAGAAGATAATCTTCATTGGCGCACTTCTCGACCAAGCATAGGGGTTTACGTTTCACCACCTTCGCTTTGTGACCTGACTCCCTTTTGCTTGGAGATATCCAACCGAAAATGTTCAGCCATCTTTCTAACCTGGAGGGTAATCCCAGCAAACCTGCTATCGCCTGGGAGCCGACGTCTTATTGCACCCCTGGGATGCTCGGTGTTTTCGGCGCTACACTCTCTTCCCCGTTTTCCGTATCCCTACAAGTCCCACACTTTTTTCATTCAATAAATCCTCTACAACCGTTCTTTTTCTAGGGCCCCGGCGGTACTTGTCCTTTTTCTCGATACATTTAATACCCCCAGACCACGGTTTTACCCAATCCTTTCTCCCGTGCTACGTTCGGGTTTTCGCTTCTTTTCTTTTGTTTTCCTGGGTCGTTCAGTGAAAGACTTTGAAGGATGGATAGTTTCGGGGGCTTTTTCTTTTCTTTTTTCCTTTTTCCGGGTCAGACAAACACACTCAGGGCGTTATCGAGAACAAGCTTGGATCGGGGGCATAATCCATAATTGCCTTGGTGGTAAGAAGGGGAGGAATTCTGCTACTTTATGCCTTTTGCAAGTGTGATACAATTTGGCAGCTTCCCTGTTTTTTTTTTTTTTTTTTTCAACTTTGCAAACTTCAGAAATCTAAGAAGGAAAAGGCACTTATTATTATGAATTAATAGAAGATGTTTAGAGTGGCTTGCCTCTACACATAATACCTGTGTCAGCTTTGCCGGAAGAGTCGGTCAATCTGCCAATGTCTTCGCCAACTTTGTTCCAGCCCTATTTATCGACATGGTTATTTAAGGGCAGCACTTAATGAAGACTTCAAGATCTCAGTCCAGTCTCTCGATTTCAGGCAGATCAACAAAAATTAGTTTTTTACTACTATGCCAAAGATATGTATACTTCTTTGGGCAAATGGAGATGGTCGCCACTCCCGTCATGCTCTAGAAACACACCGTACCTCCAGTTCAGAATAGGTATGCAGTCAATTTTTCTTTCCCCTTTGTCATTCTCATTATTCCATAAATCCATTATATCAAATAGACTGATGGGTCCCTTTTCCGCATCCTGCCGTCTAGAATATTTCTCATGCTATGGAAAACGTGCAGCGATATTGTGGATTTTGCATTTTCTTTTTCTTGCAACAAAAGTTCAACCCTTGTCCCTCGTCGCAGATTCCAGCCCATGTCGTTAACCCCAAGTGTCAAAAAAAATTTACAAATCACCGTCTTCTTCATCAGGCAAAGGCATCTGGGCAGCGCGTTCCATTTCCAGACGTTGTTCTTCGAGGAGAGCGTGGTCGACGGTGACTTCCGGAGGAGCAAGGGCGGGTGGCGCGACAAACTCCTATAAATAGTGTTAGCAATATACCTGCAGAATTATATGTTCAATACGGGAGTACTAACCAAAGTTTGGTTGCCAACTAATTTTCTAGCAAGCCAGAGGAATGGCTTTTCGAAGTTGTAGTTGGACTTGGCAGAAATATCGTAGTATTGGAGGTTCTTCTTGCGGTGGAAAGTGATGGTCTTTGCCTTGACTTTGCGTTCTTTGACATCAACCTTGTTTCCGCAAAGGACGATGGGGATGTTTTCGCAGACACGGGTGAGGTCACCTGCATAATAGCTTAGCGGCTGTAACAAAGTAGAGTCCAATAGAAGCAAGCTTACGGTGCCAGGATGGAACGTTCTTGTAGGTAATACGGGAGGTAACATCGAACATGATGATACCGCACTGGCCGTTGATGTAGTAGCCATCACGCAGACCACCGAACTTTTCTTGGCCAGCAGTATCCCACACATCGAATTGGATGGGGCCCAAGTTCTAATCATACTGTTAGAGCATGTACATGCAGTCAAACACGCGCCATCGACAGGATTCGACGTACCGTGGTGAAGCTGAGCGGGTGCACTTCGACACCGAGTGTGGCTATGTATTTCTTTTCAAACTCGCCAGTAAGATGGCGCTTGACGAATGTAGTCTGCAGCAAAGATCAAAGTGTCAGCCACGTGAGCCTCAATATCATTTTTGGGTGCCAGTCAAAGAATTTGTTGGGCATGAGATAAAGGGTGGCCAACGCGGGGCAGTGGACAGTTCACTGCCCACATAGCATTAACACTGAAAACAGGCGACAGGAGAGAGATAATATTCCTGCGGTGCAGCATCATACCTTGCCGGTACCACCATCACCAACGAGCACAAGCTTGAAGATAGGTTGTTGGCCTTGGGCCTGTTCTTGAGTAGCCATGGCAGGAGATATGTAAGATCTAGGAAAAAGAAAACAGAACAAGGAAGTGGGGAGTGCTGGGTACGAGTGTCGAATGAATCAAAAAGACAAAATCGCCCGAGCTGGTTGTTCAAATATGGAGAGATGGATGACGGGAGCAGGTGTCTGGTGGTGATGGGGGATATTTGGGCTGGAGGTGGATTTTTATCAGTTGGAGGAGCAACTCGACGAGCCGGCAGAAAGTCTCGCTCTCACTTGCGGCTGGCTTTGTCAGCCAAACAAAAGCCGCTTTGGGCGCTGAGAGGTCACGTGCCGCAGCCAATGTGGGCTTGGCAAAGTGGGATGTTTAGTCAGCAGGGCTAGGCAGAATGCAGGCGGTGAGCCAGAGGTTGTCGTCACGATTGATGCCAGGAAGACTACTCTATACACAGTCCACTACAGGTCATGAACAGATCCCAGTCTGTCGAGTCAAAGCTCTGATATGGGAATGCCCATGGACGACATCCACGCGCCAACGGTGCCATCTGGCCCCACCTCCCGCCTGGGAGGCGAGCGAGATATCTCCAAGCTGAGCATGAATGAACTCTTCAAAGCAAAAGAACAAATTGAAGAAGAGTTGAAAATGCTCAGTGAAATCTTGCAATCTGTACGTACAGATTCATGTGCCCAGAATGAAATGTACATACTGGCTAACTACCATCTAGCATGGGGTGAACATGGAGACACCTTTAACCACCTTTGATGGTTATCCAAGAGATGATTTAGACATTGCCCAGAGTGCGTCCACGAGCCCTTTACTTATCTATATCAAGGGATTCCCATCTAATGGCTCTGCCCATCTTCAGTCCGGACGACCAGAGCCCGGATTATCTATCTCCGAAATGATCACAAGGCTATAATGGCAAAGGTTGAACAAGGAGTACATGCATATTTTGCCGATATCAGGAATCGCGACACGTGTGACAAGAGTACCGGGGATCAACAGCCGCCACCAACTACACACGACGCTACCGAAGAAGCCCCTGTAGACCAAAGTGGGCTAGTCGAGACACCGTTTGCCAAGGTTAGCAGTGTCGCGGATGGCAGCCCGGCAGCGCAAGCTGGCATGAAAGTTGGCGATAAAATTCGCAGCTTTGGGACTGTCAATTGGATGAACCACGAAAATCTCAGAAAGATATCAGAAGTGGTTCAAAGCAATGAAGGGGTAGGTCAATGTCCAGGATCATTGATACAAGAGCCCGCTCACATTTAATATGCAGATGCCGTTGATTGTTAAGGTCGCAAGGAGCGGTGAGCCAAGCCAGGCACTTGTCAATCACACCTTACAACTAACTCCTCGCCGTAACTGGGGAGGACGTGGCCTGCTTGGATGTCATCTTGTCCCGCTCTAATATGAACTAACCGTCCTCACGTTTCCGTATGCTATATCACGGCGAACTGCAGCTCTTATTTCAGCAGCATGCAACAGATTTTTTGAATATACCCACCACGCAATTTCATATTGCCTGCGAACAAGCCTTTCCATCTGTGGATGGGTTGCATACCAATCCATGCGGTTTAGGACATGCTGGTGAGGGGTCAAGGGCCATGACAGAATGCTGAGCCTGGCATCTACAGTATATGCTATGCAGTATGCATCCAACATCTATCCTACAAATTAATGATAGGTTTTGATGGACACACCTAGAATCCAAGGCTAGTAGCGCACTACCGTCATTGTGATATAGGACAGCGCTTATCGCAAGTCTAATGCAACCGTCCAAATAAAACCATCTTGCACATGGACTAAGTAGTGACAATGGAATATAACTTCTACAACTATTGGCCTTGGTAGCATTTGAGATGGAAAAGATAAAATCACTTTTGCAAAGGTAACTATATGAAAGCTCCAACAATAAATTAACCTGCCTGCACTGTAGAGTATTTACCACTCCAATATAAGGGGGTGAGATGGCGCTAAAAGCAGCGGCAGATGCAAAGAGAAAACCTAAAGCAGCGTGAAGCTCCAACAACCTCGCTAACTAACCAAGCTTCACAGTAGTTGACCTCTTATCCAATTGTCCTTCTTCTTGTTGCCGTATGCAACTAGCAAAGCCCAGGTGGACGGTATCAAGGATGAAGAAATGAATACATCTAAGATCCTTTAGCGACTCTATGAACCACGACTTCATTTGCAGGACAAGGGGTTTCAATACTCCGTATTCAGCCCAGTTCGCACTGTTGCCTGACAAGATGGAAGTGCAAAAGCCCGCCACAAGCTCATTTTGATGATGATGGTGTGAATGCTTCAAGGAGGATGAATCTGCTTCATGTGCTTGAATATTGCGAGGCGCCCTTTGGCCAAATTTCTGCCTTGGTTGGATCATTATCCATTCGCCAAAGGCATCGAGAAGAAACCGACCCTCCGATCCCGCTGGAAGCCAACGCCCTGGTGAATAAACTCATTCCGGTGGACGAGGATAAGTATTTCTTTGCTCTCTCGAATACGCAATTGGTAACCTCCTCCTAACCTGGAGCGTGGACCGTCGAACGTCACTGTGGAAAGCCTGAAGGGCGTCAGGCCGAAATCACAACTCTCAGTTGGGGATGTTCCCTGACATAATAGCCCGTTGCAGTCAGCCAAACCATCGAGGGAGTGAAAAGCCGGTGCCGAATGATCTATCCGAGTGGCGCAACGAAAATACGAATCGTTACCATCTCTCCATCTGGAACAACCCGCACATAGGCCCCTTGGATTCCCCTATCCCCAATATCTTCGAAGATTCCTGGTTATACCATAACGTTCGCCGCATCCACGTCGAGCAGCCAGAATCATCTTTCCAGGGCCGAATGAGGTTCACGACTCTAACCGATTTCTGCCAGACGGTTACTACATAACCGTCAGTTTTAGAGCAGATATTTCGAAGATGCTTCCAGGCATATATGCGTACCTTTCACGGCTGACGCCGTAGGACCTGGACAGATCTTTAAATGCCGCTATCTCACTCACCCGGACAAATTTTTCAGGGCCTCTTGGGAACTTACGTCTGTCTGCAGCAAGTTATTGCACTAGGTTTGGGTTTTATGCAGCATCGAAGCCGACTATATGGTGTCTTGGTCCTTTGATATCTTTGTTGGGCTCTGGTTTTTCTGATATAGTTTGAGTTCCCCTATATCCACCAGACCGTGCGAACCACCACAAGGCGCACAGCCCAGCTAACAGCAATTTGCAAAGAGAAGAGCTGCTGGCAAAGATGATGAACAGTTAATCTATCTTCAGCATGTTGTTCTTTGTCGTTTTCTTACTCATCGCCGAGCCTCTGTCGCCCTTTCCCCGATTTGGGCGTTACGCGGGCCCTCATGATGCGATGTCAACAGAGAGGAACAGTTTTTCTGTTTCTCTCTCTTTTGCTCTCTTCCTTTCCTCTCACTTGGTCTCTGTTCATCTTCACCAAGTTGGGTTTCTCCGTTCTTTGAACTATGGAACCCAACGCGGATGGTGAGACGTTGCATGAGTTCATCATGGATAATTATCCAGATGATACCTTTCTCGAAGCCCTTGAAGAGATCCCCCCTGAAACCGAAAGTCCAGCGGCTACGCTTACACAGTCACGAGCCAACCTCAGATTCTCGCAATGGATTAAAACCGTTCGCGGCAGCAAACCAAATCTTGTTCAAGGCCCCTCGCGCTATGTGGCTGATTGGCCAGAAGACGAGGATTTGGACGACAGTAGTCACACGGTTCCTCAAGAGCGACTCAATCGTGACGATGCTTCTATCGTGTCGTCCTCTTCCTTTCTTCACAGCGTGAAAACTGCAAGCATGAGCCTTGCAAGTTTGAGCATTGTCAATCGACGCAGATCAAACACCCAGACAAGTAGCCACCATCGCAGCAGCACGTTCTCCGGGTCCGACCCTCGAAGGTCGATTGATAGCAATAAGCTGGGATCGACGCTCTCCCTGGATGAATCGGCATGGACCTTTGCCATTCAAAGATTCCAGATAATTCAAGAACTAATCGACACGGAAGCATCGTACATTTCAACACTCAAAAATTTATCACAGGTTAGTCCCTATTGGTCCCAGGGTAAAGGGATTATTCCTCATGTCTTACTGCCTATAGGGGCTTTCGCTCGTTCTTATTGCGCCGTCCGGTGTCCACCAGAGCATTGATAAGCTCATTACTTTCCATGGACGGTTACTAGGAGGCTTGCGAAATAGCTCAGCCGCTTTTTTCAGCACCAACCTCCTTGCAAAGGAACGGGTCCGTCGGACGAAACAAGAGAATGAAAACAATGCAAATCAATCCACCATACGAGCCCGTAGCTCATTCTTAGCTCCTGGGAAGCCGCGTGAACAACCAAGGCCACGTAGTCGGTCCTCGACAATTGTTGCGGTGGCACCGAAAGCTGCATCAGCGATAGCACGCACCCTTCTGGCACATGTAATGTTTCCTCCTATGATTTTGATATCATTTGTCTTATCTCGCTCGCTGATTCTAATGCTCCTGTAGCTACCCGGCTTTTATGTTTATAAAGAGTATCTTGCGAAGTATCCATTGTTGCAAGGCGAAATCGATCACTTGAGGCAATCAAAAGAAAATTGGCAAGCGTATGATCAAGGTCTTGAAGCGCTGCTCCGCGCCGTCCAGCCGTTTAACTTGCGCGAGAAGCACGCCAATCATGCCCGGACTATCAGCGATCTTCTGATACAGGTTCGCAATTTCCCCAATATTATTTTATAGAATAATAACGCTAACATCCTTCATCACAGCCGGTGCAAAGACTTTGCAAGTACCAACTCTTTCTGAAAGATTTAATGAGATGTACCCCTGAAACTCAATGCACTATGACATACGAAGCACTTAAATTGGCATTTGATGAAATGGGAAAAGTTACAAAAGAAGTAAACAGCGGTTCTGCTGACCCCATCGCCATGGATCGCGTCCGAAAGACGCTGGAGCTCCAGAAAAAGTTGGAATTTCCTTCAAACCAGGTATAGTACAGCTCCTATAACGTAGCTGAAGTTGCCTTTTTAACATTACCTGTAGGAATATTGTGATGTTCTTAAACAGTACGGGCCTATCAAAGTTTGCGGGGTACTGCACATTGCGTATCAAACCGGGGAAGCAGTAACCGGCAGCTATATGATGTGTGCGCTGTTCAAGTCCTACATGCTTCTAGCAACTTCAAGCAGCGACCGTGAAAAGTTGAAAGTTATGGCGATCATCTCTATCCGCGGCTCAAGATTGGAGGAAACAGCGAATGGAATAGGTTCAGTCCCTCAAATTGATAGCGGCACGATGCAAATACTGACAAGCAATAGGTTTGCATTGCTCTGGAACCCCCTATTCGTGGAAGCTCGTATTCACTTTCCAGCAAAATCTCGTCGAATTGGTTTTCAGTGCCTGCTCAGAAAAGGAAGAAACCGAATGGGTCCGGCATTTACTATTACAAATTGCACCTGAACAAGAAGCGCAGCCGGAAGCCGCCGCAGAGCCAGTGGGAGAGTCAGTTATTTACTTTACATTAAACCCGTTGCAAGCTGTTGTACTCGATGATCGCTTGCTCAACGTTGCGCGTCGTTCCTCGGTTCACGGGACTCTGGTGACAGTTGCAAACCCAGATTACTTGCGTATCCATATCAAAGGCACTGCGGCCTTTCCTACCCCAAACCAACCCACGTGTCCGCCTCTGGGGAGATCCCAGTCTGTGCAGAATCCGCGGCGCGACGTCGTTCTGGCACCGAAGAGACAGAAACGAATCAAAATGGAGAAACGTCTGGCCGATATTTGGACTCGTGACATTATCCCGTATCCTGGTATGCCGCTGGAATCCTTTATGCGAACGTCGACCGATGTCTTGATGGGAAAGTTTACGAGCTTGCCGCCATTTGCTCGACGCACCAATAGCAACCGCACGTCAACAAGGACCAAGAGTGTTGAGCAATTTAGCATTCCAAAATATGACTTGATCAAAGGGGATATTGAAGATGACGAAATCGATCCTTGTCCTTCCAAAGAGTCCGATCAAAACGAAGACGAGGATAAAATTGACCTCAAGAGCGCAATGATAGAGGCGTCTAACAACCAGCGCCGCGGATTTATGTCTCTTCGCAAAAAGCACTCGAACTTGATTCCGCGCGCCATGGGTGAGGCTCCAAACGAAATTAAAGTCAAGGGAAGCAAGCAAAGCCTTCGTAAACGCCTCAGTGTGGCTCTGTTTAAGTCCAACTCCCCCAAGTCTCGCCGCTTCAACTCGGTGGAAGTGTGAGAAGGGGGCCGGAAACACGGTTGGATTCCCTGCAACAAGGGTTCGACTTGGGACTGGTCATTGCAAACAAATGTAACTATCTCATTAGCTCCAGGAATCTGAACATCGAAAATGGTGGGTAGCAGCGGTCATGGAAGCCATTGCTTTGTGATTTTGGCGGTTGAAAATCTGAAATCTGAGAGCCATACGGAGTGACTAGTTAGCAAAATGACAAGCTGAGACGTCGTAATAATATCCAAATATCTTAACTGGTAGAAGCACCCGTTGTGATTGCGCAACCAGCATGGCATCGCTGCAAGTATGACGACGGTGGAGAGATGACGTCGTTGAGTCTGGCTAGTGACATCGCTGCCCAGCCAGTTTGTATGGCAGCCGCAGGTACTCCCCGGACTCTGGCCAACATTGGCTTGGATGATGTCGAGCCCGCGGATCCAAAGCCAGTCTGGCCGGTATATAAAGGCGAGTCTGCCGTTTGGCCGGCCTGGTGGCTTGTTTTGGATCTCATTGAAAGGCATATCGTCTCAACGCATTGAAACTTGCACAACACCAATAGACAATTGAACTTGCTACTTTACGACAAGCCCTCTTCTCTACATCTCGAATTTCACCTCATACCAGAATCCTGTTGACAATGGCTCGCGGCAACGTCGACGTATACAAGGTCTTCTACAAAGGCGACAATGACGACTTTATCGTCTTCGTGGAAGATGTCGCGGCGGTGCGAAACTGGAAAAAGGACCGCTCGATTCCACTGGCACAGGTGGTGAACGGGTTCAAGGTTTTCGTGACACATCGGTAAGTTAAAGGGGGCGGATATCTGGCGGGTTGTTTTTCGTAGTGTGTGTATGTTGCTGACGACAAGTGGGATAATTTAGACAAGGGGCGCAGGGAATACATGATGGGGCTAGCAAGGCGATACTGGAGTGCGAATTTGGGACGTCGGATGTAGAAGAGGCTATTGCAAAGATACTGGAGAGGGGAGAGATACAGGAGAGCGAGGTGAGTCTTGCCGTCCCCAGGTTTATTAAGTTACTCTTTGGCTAATAAATGTGCATTTCTTTCTTGCTGGGCAGAACACTGAGCGGAATGGAACGAAGAACGACTCAAAGGGAATCTATATCAAGCGTTGAATGATGTTATCTAATGCCGTTGGCTTCGAGAGAGCGGGTTATCGAGGTTGATTTTCATCACTTCTACTAGGGGTGATGCCGTGGTGATGTACACCTTCCGGGGGGGAATCAGGTTGATTCACAGTCGCCTCCCATTGTGTTGCCAGCTGTAGTCTTATGCTTAGCAACTAACTACTTACATATATTACGTTTTACTACCTCAAATACATTTGAGCGTTGATACTCAGTCAAATCTTCCAGGCAGCACAACTGAAGGGAGGGATCTTTTTGTTTCATCATCAATTGACGGCACAGTATATATAGTAGGGTATCGGTGACTTCCCACCGAGATGACAGGCGGGAGATGAGTAAGTATACAAATAAATAAACATGAGAGACATATATCGTGAGAATCAAAACAGAACCAATATTTATAAAACCAGTAACGCAAAACGGGACGCGGGAAAAGAGATTCCACATCGACTTTTTTGTCGCTGCTTCTCTTTTTCCCCCGAGCCCGTCGTTTAAAAATGCTCTTTCCAGAATCTGAACCGAACCTCTCTGGTCGTACACTCTTTCGCAGCCTTTCTGATATCCTTTGCCGCCACGTTCGGGCCGCAAAAGTACACACCGACGTCTGTCCGTAACGAGGCATCCAAGCCAGGCATGTATGTCTGGTCAACGAGACCGTTACGCAGCGCCGAGAAAAAGGTTTTGAAGTCCGGCCGACCAAACTTCGTACCTGTGCGTAATTCAGTCAACGGATCAACCTGCTGACCAACGGAGTTGAGCATGATGTTGGCCGCAGTGTCCTGGTCAAAGCGTTGGGTGAGATAGGTGTGGATGCGCAAGAATTCCTGCCCTGAGCGCGAATCGGCGGCAGATTGCGCTTCGAGGGAGGAGAGGAGGGCATGGAACCATTCAAAGGAGCTCGTATCTCGGCAAATCCAGATGAATTCGACTCGGCGGAGACGGGTGGGCGGGTTAGGTCCGGCGCGGAGATGCCAGATGTTCTTGAGGATGGAAGCCCATGGCGTCACACCAATACCGGTGCCGATCAAGATGGCGATTTCATTGTCAAAGACGTCTTCAGCTGGAGCTCCGTAGGGTCCGTCGATACGGATTTTTGGCATGGTCTGGCCGTTTTGGACGGCGATTTCGTACATTCCAAGGGGATCGAGGCCATCGATATCTTTGGCTTGCTCCGGACCACAACCAAGACGGTTACCAAGCGCTCTGGTCCAGTCGCCCACTTGGCGAATATGAATACTGACGTAAGGATCAAATGGGCAGGAGGTGATGGTAAACGGATGCCACTGTGTTTTTGAAATGTCCGGAACTTGGATGAAAAGCCATTGGCCGGCTTTATATCTCATGCTGGGCTTGCTGAATTGGATTTCCATGGCATCTTTAGGATGAAGGTTAGTCTAGAGATCTAAGTCGGCGAAATTGGCATAGCACTCACCATAAGGGTGCCGAACGACCTTGGTAATTTTGGTTTCCCGCGCCGCACGTACTTCTCTATAAAGCCGTTCGATAAGGTAGATTCCGCCACCGAAAAGCTCCCATCTCCATCCCTCGTAGCCGATGCAATGGTCCCAAAAGTCTTTACCGGCAAATGGGGACAGAGGATCAAGGGTATCTCGAACGAAGCACCCCGTAGCATGGGTATAGAGACCAAGTAGGAACGGAACAAAAAGATGATGCGTATACCAGAAAGTCTCAAAGGCCTGTTGCCTGATGCGGGCATGCGCTGTGGTGTACATTAACAACATGCACAAAAGCATGATGTGCCCGGTAATGCCACCTGCTTGGGTGTAGTGGATCTGGACAGCAGTTTCCTTGCGGACTTGTGATTTTTCAACGTTGAAGAAGCTGTTGATCTAATTAGCAAGCGAATTTTCGAACAGAGGTGTTCTTTGAGAGGCGGAAAAAATTCAAAGACTTACTTGACATAGTGAGCGATGGTATGAACAAGGCTGAAAAAGAGTAGTGAATAAGCGACCTGCCGATGGAACCACACCGATTCGTCTAACGGTAGCCATCTAAATTTCGGTCTGACATATCGCAGTAGCGTTCTACACATGGGAAGTAAAATGAGAGTCCCATCGACGGAGAGGACTAAGCCGGCCCCTCGAGAGATCCATACTGAGTACTGTAGCGTATTCAGCGGTGCGAGTCGAATATCGCCCGCCTGTTTCCACCTATTCGACAGCTGTCAGCTTCTTGGATTCAATTTCTCATATCCGAGATGGTTCGAAGGCCGGCTTACCATCCATATATGAAAACACCCAGCTGCATGCCATGAAAAAGAAAGTAGAATAAGATCTTAGAGCCACCAAAATGCCGCTTCCACGCTGAGTGCTCCATGATGCTGGCCGATGCAGATTCCCATAAAAGCAGGCAGAGTGAGCAGTGGCGATTGAAGAACGAACCACCAGGGAACCGCAGGTCCTCGAGGTGTTACGATCTCAGCGAAGGTGATGGGGGAATAAGTGAGTAGACGCCGAGAAGAAAAGTAGAGGGCCAACAGAGCATGAGATAAGCCGAGAAGGAAAAGCGAGGCCTGGCCGTAGTAGTTATCTTCGCGTGCAGGGCAAAAGCAAGCGCATCAATATTAAAGGAGTCGCGGAATCGTTCCAAGTTGACCAAAGCAAGAATGCAGAGCACCCAAGAAGGGGACCCCCGCGCCAGAGACGCCCGAGCTCGAGAAGCTGAGCTTCCTCTTCCAGTGTTATCTTGGTTTCGCGAGGCTGGATTTGGATAACTGTGTTCCCCTGGCCGGATCTGCGTTGAAAGTATGTCGCCGCCAGCGTTTGTGCCTGTCCATGTATCGCGGATTGCTGCACAACTACTTTGACGATTCTATCTTTTTATTTTTGACTTCAATCAAGATCTGTCTCCGCCTGCCCTGTTTTCGATGTGATCTTCTTGCAAATGTTTTCCCTTGAAATCGGAATAACGAGCGTGGTTGGCTCGCGGCTGGTCACGACGCCGGTTTGTAACCGGTGCTGTTTGACCCTGGGATCGAGCGAGAACCAGGTATATTTCCGAAGAGGAATAGTCCGATCGACCCAGGATGTTCCAGGCGACGGATCGGAATGGTTCTTGTTAGAAATGTGTCGCGTTTGTCTGGATATCTGGCGCTGGATCGGGGTCCTGTCTCAGCTGTCGTTGGAGAAGGTTGTCGCTCTGCGGCGGTGATGAGACGCTGGACGATTCCAATCTGCCCCCCTTCGACTCCCAGCCCAAGCCAGAGTTTTGTGTGTTCGATGACTGAATTGTGAGTTGATTCAAGTCTCGAGAAGTTGAGACGGCGTCAAGTTGGTTTCTTTCTTTTTTTCTCGACGTCGTCGTGGTGGTTGCCGGCCCTGCAGAGGGAGAACCGGCGACAAACGCTCAACCGGGATTGTTCGCAGCCAAATAACCAGCTAATTTTATCACACGGCGGTCCCTTGTCTGTGCAGACGGACAGCAGGACGACAAGGGGGTTTATTTGCTGATGATCTGCCTGAACGGCGACTATGAACCTAAGGCGATGCCCCAACCCTGGCCAGAGAGCAACCTTTTTCACTCGAGTCGACAGCGTAGGGAGTGCAAAGGCCTCAGGCGATATCCGGGCTAAACAGTCCAAGCCTACGATGATCCGCTGCCGGGTTGTTTTCTGTCCGATTGACTAGTTACCGAAATCTCATGGACAGGGAGCGACAAGCAGCCCAGGTTGCCAATCAGTGAACATGCCGAAAACAACAACATGGCCCGCATGGCATGATTCGAGGGTGCTTGACGGCATGCTCATCTTTAGCGAGGAGCCACATCATGGCCGTTTTTCTTGGTAACTAACGATTCGAGGCACGGCCCATGCCATTTACATCGTCCGGTGGAAAGGAGCACACGCTTCCGAGGGGATCAGAGCGGCTGGGTGGATTGAACGCTGATGACTATGTAGTTACTGTCTCGTAACCACTGGCAGTCGTTGCTTGAGGGAACATCTACAGGCATAACTACAATCCCGTTGTCTCCAGCCAACCACCCTGGGCCTCGATGACTTCAAAGTGGACCGCATTTGAGAGCGGCGTGGTGATTGAGTCTTTGCCCAAATTGGTGAATGCGAGACTGCCAGAGGGCAACATGACAGGTGTGTATTTATAGCAACTTTGGAGGGCCAGATGCTGCTTTGGCCTATCATACGGCGTGATGCAGCCGCTGAGGCTTCAAGAGGCCGTGTGGCCGCAACCCTTGGCCCTCGATCCACATGGCACTCTCGCCAATGGGAAGTGAAAAAGAAACGTCGAGAGCAAGAGGGGAAACTCAAGCGTTCTCTTGGGAGAAGCGGGCGGTTGGAAAGGGAGGATAGGACTCATCGGAGTGATACAAAGATGGCTATTTTCTTACCCAGTGTACAGAGAACTAGCAGAGCACAGATGGATATATGCTGTGCCACCTGGACGACGCTGTGTATACTTGCTTCCAGTCTGGCCAACTTGAAGAGACTGAAAAGGGCTTGATCGTTGAGACCGGCTCTTCAATCTTCTTCCGAGCGATACTCGCGGAGGAATGCCAATGCTGCAACTCTGAAGAACGTCAAAGGCTTGACTAGTTAGTTAACTAGTTAACTTCCCGGCGCATCCACAGCGCTATTCATCACTGTTTGATACAACAATTCTTTTGCTGCGCGGAGGAGCTCTTTGATCACCAAGGCAGTGGCAGATAGATTGATAGACACAAACACTCCGTTTCCATCTCTCGAGTCCTCTATCATCGTCTCCTGTGAAATATCACCTCCATCCTTGCAGAAATGCCTTCCTGTCAACGCCAAAGACCGTGGCGCTTGGAGCTGCAACGGGCGTCCAACCACAGCCCTGAAGCTGCAGACTCGCTGCAGGACAGCCATGCCTCATCACATCGCCAACCCTTGCGATCACACATGAATAGCAACGAATCGCACGCCGCGAACCGCCTTTCCCATGGCCCTTGGCGTCACATCGGCGTGCAAGGATATCCTCTCCCTTTCTGACCTGTATCGTCGCAGCCCCTTCAAGCCCCCCCCGCTCTGTTGGCGCTCCCGCCACCCATCATGCATGCTTCCATGCAGCCTCTCTGGTCGTCTTCGGTTGATGGGGAGATGGGCCATGGGTTCGAGAAAACCGCCAGTTGTGATTCCTCAATCCAGTCAACGTGCCGCCCCGTCTTCCTTGTCCATCGGACTTTGGCCATTTTATGTCATGAGCCGCTGCATGTATTTCTTTTCAATCACAAAAATCTTTCTCGGCTCGGCCATCTGGGTGAATTTTAGTCTTCTCTTTTGCTTTCTCCGCTTCGGTAGTTAGTTTAGCTGCATTTTCTTCCCATCATCGTTGACTACATATCGGGCTTCCCCTCTCATTCTAAAAGGCCCCCAGGAGCCTTGACAATGCTCTGCAAAGGGGTGACGGTCCAAGCAGGTAACCAATTCCGTCCTTCTCTGACAGCATCTCAGGCCGGTTTATGCTAATTGCGACCTTTTAGAATCATAGTTGCCCATTTGGCCATAGTGCGACTTTATCGTCTCATGCTGCCTTGGTAGTTCCGTCGCAGAATTGTGTCATCCGTGAAGCAAGTCGGGAGAAGTCAAACTGGGACGCTGAGGTTCCGATATTTTGCTAGTCATCCCTTTAAATCTTACGGACTGCCGTTATTATTCCGATGTCTCCCTTTTCTGGCGTCTCGGTAGGCGCATGTTGAACCGTTTTTTGAGCCACAATATATCCCCGAGCCGCTGCTCGCATCCCGACCCTACTGTCCTCACAACTTCCTCCTGGAGACGGATATACTCGTTCTGCCTTTTCCACAAACCGTCCGCATCGAAGCTGGGCCCCGATCATCCAGTCGAAGCGCAGAGGGAGGGAAGGACAAGGCCAGCCTGATTAACTAGGACATGAAAAGATGGGAAAACTTATCAAAAACCACTTGGCAAGATTAATCGTCCTCACAGCAGCAATTGGTATGTTCGGAATTCGTGCTGGGACTTTTTCGTACAAATGCTAACGCTACAACTGCAGGCCAATTTGCCGCTGGTATTCATGGATTCTTCTGGCCAAAGGTCTTTTGGGACTTTCTCACGAAAAACCTCGATGGAGCGGTCAAGCCTGTTCCCGTCCTTCAGATCTTCAACGTCATATTTGGATTGATCGGTATCGCATTGGAATGGCCCTTGAAACCTATAGCGGGAACGTTGGTTCACCGCAGTATCGAAGCTCGATTACTGGTATTCCCAGTCAGCACACTTCTAGCAGCGCTGCTATACCAGGGCACGAACCCTGCTATATATTACATTGTCGGAATGATTGTATATTTCTGGGGGTACAGCGAGGGAGAGGTATGTATTTTGAACTAGCTCCACATACGTCTGGGCCTGTTGGCTAACTGCGTGTTTTGCAGATTGTCTGCCCTGAGCCGTGGACCTTGCCCAAACGCCCGGGACGAGTCATGAAAGTATAATGAACTAATTTTCCTCATGGCGTTGATGGCACACATAAACCCTTATGAACGGGGGCCCAGGACGGCCTGCTCGTGATACTGGACCCATTCTTCCCCTTCGACGATTTGTACATTTACGAGAAGATTTTCTTTTTGATGTGCCGCTGAGCACTTGGACATGATATTTCTGTATCTTTTTGCGGATGGATTGGACCCTTTTTGCTGGCTTTTGAGCGGCTAGCATACGAGCAGTATATACCTACATCACATATAAAATTCAATTTTGATAACAAAAATCACTACGTTTACACATTGAGACCGTAATGGATTGCCCTGATAAGAGATTACTTGTCCAAACAGTGTGTCGTTTGTTCTGTTCTGGAGTATTACCGGCGTGGATTGCATCGCCTCAGGATGATCAGTGGCAAAGATGGATGCTTGGAGAAATCGCGAGATGACTTTTTTTCTTTTTCTAGCGCGCAGGCAGCAGCTTCATCTGATCCCCTATTTATACGGCGAGCGAGTCTCAAAGTATTGAACAAGAGCAGTGAAGAGAAGTTGATTTTGGTTTCGTCCACTTCCTCCACATCTCGCAAAGAATGACACCGTCCACCGCCGACCTCTCCAACTGCGAGACGGTGATCTCGTTCAACGGCAGTCTGGACCAATACCTCCATGTATCGCCAACAAAGAATGAAAATACCAGGAGCGAGACCGCCTCGCCATTGAAACGGAAACTGAACAGCGCAACAGACGAGCAAAGCAACCCGTCGTCGCCCACCAAACGCCCATCTCCCTCCGCCCTCCCCATCCCATCTCCCACCCGCCGAACCACCCGCTCACAGTCCACCCAGGCCCTCCAAACCACCCTCCTCACCCGCCCATCCCCAACAAAACGAACCCGAAGCTCCAAATCCACCACCCCCGCCTCTCCCGCCCCCAATGGCGGACCCGTCTGTCTCCTCCGCGACACCATCCCGCCCGGCCTGATCCTTCTCTTCATCGGCGTCAACCCCGGCATCATGACCGGCCAAACCGGCTTCGTCTACGCCCACCCGTCCAATCTATACTGGAAGCTCCTACACTCGTCGGGCATAACGGCCCGTCGACACCCGCCGAGCGATACTTACCGCCTCCCCGAGCTCTATGGCGTCGGGAACACGAACATCGTGGCGCGTCCGACGCGCGATGCGAGTATGCTGTCCAAGGCGGAGATGGATGCGGGCGTGGCCATTCTGGAAGAGAAGGTTAGGAAGAGTAGGCCGGAGGCGGTGTGTTTGGTTGGGAAGAGCATTTGGGAGACGTTTTGGAGGGTTAGGAAGGGGAGGAATATCAAGAAGGAGGAGTTTAGATATGGTTGGCAGGATGAAACTGAGAACATGGGCGTGATAGCACGTGGGGAGGGCGAGGATGGCGAGGAGTGGAAAGGTGCGAGGGTATTCGTGACTACGACGACGAGTGGACTGGCTGCTGGCATGTCAATGGCCGAAAAGGAGGCCGTGTGGAGCGAACTGGGAGCGTGGGTGAAGCAAAGAAGGGATGAGAGCAATTTTGTCCCTATAGCCAATTGAAAATGAGTTAATATCATTCAAAAATATCATACTCAGGCGCTACTGTTCCTGAATGTCACTCCTCATAATCACTACTTTGATCTTGCGGCAATTCCGGAGAGCGCCTGCTTTTCTCTTGCTCCTCATCTATTTCGTCAAGCGTGTCCTCCAAATCAACATGAACCCGCAACCCTTTCTCCACAAGCACATTCCAGACCTTCCTCAACTCGTCAAAACTCATAGTATCTTTCAATCCAGGTTCTGTAAATGCCAAAAGAACCAGCTCCTTGGCCCATGGGCAGGATCGGATGGATCTATAAAACACATCGCGCGCCCGTCTCTTTTGGCTCAGCGCTAATTCGAACAGTGTATAAAGCTTCCAGATCGCAGCGCTGGATTGGCCTGGATGCGAGCTGACAGCCGTTTCAAAAGCTGACCGGGTAGAATGAACCGTCGATCCAACGGATACGCCTCGATGGAGTTCGCTAAAAATGGAGAAGAAATGAGGTGTGAGAGCAGAACCGCCCGAAAGACCCGTATGTTCATCTGCCTTGCCCTGTGACGGAGAGAGTATATGCTGTCGAAGAACCAGACGAACGCGGTCGTCGATTCTGAAACGAGATTCATTAAGAAAGAAAATACCAAGGAAGATGGTGTTATTCGGAAAAACGACAAGGCTCTTGGATAGTTCTTCGCGGATTAGGGCCGGCTTATATTTCATGGTGTTGGAGATATGATGCCAGATCAATTTAGCTTTAGCTTGGTGGAGAAGTTCAGATAAGCATGTCTGCTCAAGATTGTTTTCCTTTAGTCGCTTTTCGGAAGCCCCGTATATGTCCAAAGCAGCTTCGATATCAAAATTGCGCGTAAGGTAACGCAGCAGAGCTAGGCAGTCAGTACTATTGGTAAATAGTGTAGGATTCCGAAAAGTTAGCCCATGTTCTTGGGTTTCGGTGAGAACCTATAGATTGTTAGCAAAGTCAGTAAGCTAAGGAGAAGTCAACCCTACCTTTTGTATTTTCAGAAACTCTGCTGGACTAAGGTCCTTCACCTGCTCTGCATGACTCGATAGCCTATCAGCGTCAATTGCATTTTCTGAAATCGCAAGGAGGACTTGAATTGCTTTGGAAGCATTGTTTTTGTTCAACGCCTCCCAAATCCAGGATCGCCACAGCAACACACAGGTTTTCTTCACCTCCTCCGGGAACGACTTGCTCATTGATAAAGTCGTCATCCAGACCTTGTCAGCTGCAGCCTCCCGACCACGGCGACTCTCGATTAGTGCGTATGCGTTATAAAGCCCAATGTTTGACGGGCGCTTCCGTAGAAGACTTTTAGCATATTTTATAGCGTCATTGGGATTGCATATATATTCAAGGCCAGCCGAATAAATAGCCAATGTATCGCTGGCAGAGACACGGTCCACCAATTGCCGCAAGGTCCGCCGGACCGATGCAGCGTCGAGAGAGCTGGTAGTGTCTACATACGTGGATTTCCAAGACTCAAAGGCGGAGAACCAAGCGGAGCCATCGCTGAAAATGCTGTCTTCCGTTGGTATGAAGTTAGAGTAGGGAAAGGACGAGAGTAAAGGTAGGCTGGAAGCCTCCGGATCATGGGACAATGCCTTGAACCATTGTGAAGAAGCATTTACTTGTTCTAAAGCCAAGTTGCGAACATAAGGGTCTTCACACCATTCTTTCAAAATATCGCCGTTTTGTTCGAATGATTGTGGCAGGAGATGGGAAAAGAGTAGGAATGCATCAAGAAGCAAACTTTGCAGCTGTTCTTCAGGGAAGAATAGAAGGAAATCCGAAATATCAGAAGACAATATCACTCGGTATGGATCGTCTTCTTGGACCTCATCCAGTGTTCTAGCTGGTAAACGGGAGTAATGCATCTGATATCGCTCCGTGTTGACCCAAGATTCAAAGATTGCTCTGGTAGCAATGTTTCCAAGAGGCGGGTCTGATTTGGCCTCCGGGGGTTCATTTTCAGCGCCCCAGCCTTTAGCCCCGACCTCCCCGAGCCGTGGAATTTCGCTATCCCAGAACTCAGAAAATGCCCGACGAGCGTTGGAAAGATTGCTTTTGAGATCAAGGGAGCTTGGGTGAAAAAGGTTGAATTCCAATATTGCCTGCCATATGCCAAAGGCATGCTCACAAAATCCTGCCTCTCGCATAAACAAACTAAGCCGCAGAAGGATATAGATATCAATCGCACCCTGTTTTAAGCTGTCAGGCTGGGTTTGATTGATGTTCAGGCACTCTAAGAAAATTTGTCGGCAGGCTTCGTACGTAAAATTGGCAAAGCGGGTCTGTTGAAAGTCTAGGTATTTAACCCACAGGGCGATATATCCTGGATTTGACTGCAAGACGTTTTTCCATTTGTCGGCCACAGTTTTCGTATCCCAGATCGCGGCACCCTCTTCCATCATGCCGAGTAATAGACCGTCGCGGGGGACATCGGCTGGAATTTTACGCAACGCGTTTTCGTACATGGAGACCTTAACTTCCGCAATACTCCTTTTTTCAGCAACTGTATGGGTCCGCCGACCTTCTGAATCTGCCGTCCCAACCATGTTGCTCTGATGGTTGATGAGATCCAACCACCCATTGACGTCATCTGGGTGCGACGATACACGCGCTGAAAGTGTAGCATTTCGACGTCGTGCAGCCTCCCCTTCTAGCTCCAGATCCGAATCCGACGTCAAATCGCCATCCAAATCGGGCTCGTCGACCGGCTTGGCTTTCCCCTCAATTGATCGGTAGTTTGGCCCCGAATCTTCGGAAGAGGCTCTGTCAAGTCTTCTTCGTTTTCTGCCCCTACTTGAGGTTAAAGGAATAAAGCTCTGCTGCGATTCCGAATCGGTCTCGCCGCGGGGATCGTGCCGAATGCGTCTGTATTCCTTGAGTTTACTGACTCGCTTCCAGACAGAAGAGCTATATTTTTGTCTGGTGCTGTCGGTTGCGGCATGACTGCCGCGCGGGCGGACCACAATCTTGGTTCCCAAGCTCGATTCGCGATCGATGGCAAAGCTATTAGGGAGCCCCAGGATCCTTCCCGCCCCGACACGATGATAAGACGGAACATTGTATCTGTGAGGCGCTCCATATTCCACGTTGTATCTGTCACCCTTCGTATCTATTTTGAAGAAATCCGGTTTATGCTGAACCGGTTCCGTCTGTTCGACTGGGCGACCAGATCCGCGATAATGCCGCGTATCACTGTAGCCTGTGGAGGTAGGGTGGCCGGCCGGCTGGTGGTCACTGCGCTTTCCCTCTCGCTTAGCCCGGGAGGCATATCGAGCACCATCGTGCTCCCTATGTCGGACGGCATCCCGGCTTGTCTTTAATGGTTCCTGGGCTTTCGTCTCAGCTTGGACTTTTGGTTTGAAGCTCGCGAACTTGGGTATCGCTGGCTTTCCTCAATTCAAAAAAGTTAGCTTGTTTCCAGCCCGACATAATAGACTCCATACCTTTCCTTCCCCCGACGCCATCTTCGTCGTTGAATCTCAACTCTCTCCTGCATTCGAGCTATCGGTCATCACTCCAAGTGAAGCTCAGCTTTCACGTGATAGCTGTTAGTCAGCGATCTTAGCTCGGCGGCGGAGGAACTATGCTCCGGGCCGGGCAAAACTTCCCGTTTCGGAACATAAATTTTTAGAGCTTCGCCGTGAGGATCAGCGACATCGAGCTACACGGGAAGCGGGTTTCGATTTGCACGGTCGTTTCGGAAATGTCATTGCTTTAAAGAGAACTCTGACGACAAACACACGAGCTTTCACAATGGCCTCGTCACTCGCTGCGCAGCTTGCGCAAATCGCAGCGACATCGACCCATCAGCTCGATCTAAAAGCGCAGAGAGCAGCGCATTCTCAGTCTTTGATATTTGATAAGAAAGTTGCCGGCTCCCAAAGTTTTGATACGATCTTTCAAATATGCTACGAAGGATTCCAAGAACTGTGCGCGCTAGACTCGCGGTTTCTCTCGTTCAGGCGCAATATTTTCAGCGACCAGAGCAAAACAGAGGACCGCGGACAGATGACCGCGGGCCAGAATAAAGAACTCGACAGTGTACTGGAGGATTTCCTTGCTTTGGTTGGGTCCCGCCTATTATTGACACCAGCAGTCAAAGCGGTCGACTGGCTTGTTAGGCGGTTCCGGTACGCATTGGAATTTGCTTCTGTCCCCAGATCTCCCTTTGTCAGCGCTGACGGTTCTCAATTTAGGGTAAACGAACATAATACGCATTTTCTTCTTCTAACATTTCTTCCATACCACACCACTCCGCTATTTCTTAACCTCCTATCTATCTTACCAGAGGATCTCACCCAGACGTTCAAAGTCCTGCTTCCATACAAGCGGAACCTAGCACTCCCGCCTCGCCAGGCAATTGTACAAAGTGCTTCCACAAATAAGTCGTTCTTTTCGGCCCTGAACAACTATGTTTTACAAGTTAGTAAAGCCCAGGCGCACTATCAGGGACTTGTTTCATTCTGGGCAGGCATAATTGCGGAGGCACTCGCGAATATGCTGGATTCGGCAAAGTCAGGAAGGAGAGAGATCGAAAGAAGGAATACCGAAGACGTGTTAATACGGATTCTGCCTGTATTAAATGAAGCTTTTTCGCTAAAAAAGGCGTCCCAGCTAGTCGTTGGCTGCTACATGTTGTGTGTCGTCCTGGGCAAACAAGGCTTCCCTCGAAGACCATGTTATAGACAGTTTGATGGAGGCTGTGACTGGCTCTTGGACCCAAGCGAATATAATCCCTGGCTTAACTTGCCTGTCTGTATTGTCACAGCAGAAACAAGAACAGTTCGTTCCGCCGAAAACGATCAAAGCAATTCTTAACCTGGACAACGCTATCCAAGTTCTTTATGAACTAAACGGGCGGCATTCCATGACGAGCTTGATTCTCAGTTTAATAAGAGGATGCATCAAACGAAGTGGGAAGCGATCAGATCCAGCTTATATCTCGTTCGTCAGCCAGGTAATCGAACGATCAATTTTAAGCGGCGCGGAAACAACTAAAGCTTTAAGCATTCTTCTCGAAGCATTCAACGGCCTACGACGACAAAATTTGGTGGCTGACGGGATGGGAAAGCAGCTGTCAGATTTACTTTTACAACTCAACGAATCAAGAACATTCGCGCCTTTGCTTCGTGAGGCGGTAAAAGACTCGGGCGTGGACATAACCGAGCTGGAAATGAGCCTGGCCACTGTTTTGCAAACAGATGTGGTGCCAGGGGAGATTGAAGACGTTGATATGGTGGATTCAACCGAAATAAGCCAGGTCCAAGATACCTTTGCCAACACTTTGGACTCGTTATCCCAAGCGTCAGCAAAAGAGCACTCGTTCCTGCTTGATATCCCGTCCCCACTATTTGGTCAGTTGGCCCATGCTTTTGTCCATGGGGCTTCTATGAGGGACAAGGTGTCAAGATTTACCAAATTGCCAGTGTTGCGCCCAGATAAAGTTGTGGATGAACCCCTCTATCTATCTTTTTTCATTCGAATATTCTCGGGCCCATATCCTGCAACCGCTAGGGCTGTGGCCATTAATATCGTGACTTGCCAGGTCGATGAAATGGCCAATAAGTGTGTCGATATGCAAGCAATCCTCCCGTATGCAATTGCTAGCCTCGCTGATCCTTCAGAGAGAGTCCGGAGAGAAGCCGCGAGCCTTTTGGCCGCGATTGACCGCCAAGCTTCCAAATTGAAAGATATGGATGTATCTCAGGTCCATAGTTGGGGTCGTGGGCATATCTACGGTCAAGCGGAACGCACGGGGCCCGTCCAGTGGCTCTCTCCCACGGATATTTACAGAGTTACTCACCGTGGGCTAATACCCGGTTTGGAAGAGTATGTGTTAGATCCAGAACACGTTGGCCGAGTGGTGGCTCAAATGATTCGAGGATCCCGGTCTCTAGAGGCATTGGGAGGGACTAACCCGAATCTTGCCGATATGGATTTTAAGAAATCTCTCCGCCGTGATATATTTACTTTCCTTTGCTCGCACATCAACGGTACGCCACTTTACGGTGTCAAATTAAGATTATTGAAGGCTCTCAATAAAGTGGGAAAAGCCAGTTCAATATATCGCTCTGAGGCTCTCCGGCAAACATTTGATCACTGGCGACTTTTACCTCCAGAAGATGTCAACCGAATTGAAGATGGTGAACAGGTCTCAGCGAAAGAGCTGGAGAATCAAATCTTATTGATAATTCATCCAAAGGAAAAAGAGGCTGTTGAGCTCCTATTTTCTTCTTTAACTTTAAATCCAGGATCTAATCGACAGTCATTCTTAGTGGCGGGTTTCAACCGCCTCAAAGATATTTGGTCTTCACTCGAAGAGAATTTTGAGCTAGCCCTAGCCGATCAACTGTTTGAAATATCTTTGGCCCCGTCGCCTCAAAATATTTCACTCGCAAATGCCTCCAGGAGTCTTCTCCGAGCTGTGGATTTATCGGGGCCTGTTATCCTTCAGTTTGTCCATAAGATTTCTTCGTGTACAGCAGATCTAGGGTCTCGGGGCCCGCCCTCAAAGAAGAGGCGGACAAGTCAGAACAACATGGTGCCGATGGACTTGATGGACAAAGAAATAGATGATTTGCTCCAGAAGCTGACTTTTGTTCTCGAGTTGGTTGACGGATCTCACGCGGAAAATAACCCGGAACTTATTCCTGGACTCTTCCAAATGCTTGCCGCCATCCACCATCTGAAGCTACAGACCCGGTCGGAGATGAGTTATTTGCTCAGTCTCAACCTTGGTATTCTGTTAAGTATCATAAACAATTGGAAAGGAACGCCCACTCGAAAGATCAATACGTCTGCTATCAGGGCAGATTTGATCATAGATTGTGTACGGACTTCAGAAAGTCCACAGGTGCAAAATACCGCCCTTCTCCTGATCGCAGGTTTAGCAACGGTCGCTCCGGAACTTGTCCTCCATAGCGTGATGCCCGTTTTTACCTTTATGGGCTCCAGTGTTCTAAGGAAAGACGACGAGTATTCAGCTCTAGTGATTGACCAGGTAAATTTTGCCGCCCCGTTTGTATGGAGTTCGAGGCTAATGATTCCCAAGACTATTGATCAAGTCGTTCCCCCGTTAGTGCAATCGTTACGAAATCATAAGAGAGACGTTGTCTCTGGAACATCGGAGCTGCTTCTCTCTTTCACCACCGCATTTGAACATATCCCTTCGTACCGCCGATTAAAACTTTTCGAAGCCTTAATCACAAAATTGGGCCCCGAAGATTTCCTCTTCGCAGTATTTGCTATGTTCGCAAATCGGTATGCTATGGATAAAGACGTTTTGGCAGTAATGACAGCTTTGGCTTCCAACTATGAAGCTGAACTGCAACTCATTGTGAGCTATTCGCCCAGTAGTGATTGACCAGAATCGTACTAACATCTTTTTAGACATATGCGAGGTATCTTAACTTGGTCAAAGATGCATTACAACCCAAGCCCACGTTAGCGAAGACGCTTCTAGGTGTAGGCAACGAGGACGAAAGGGACCCCCAGAAAGTGGCGGTGGACTTGCTTCAAGCACTTTCACATCTCCTTAAGTTTACCACGCTTCGAACTAAGATAATTGATTGTTTTGATTCTGGCACCAACGACCAAGTTGATAAGGTCCACGCACTCTTCTCCAGCATTTTGGAGCAACTTCTTGCCTTGTCCGAATCATTCCGTGCGGTGAAGTCTATAAACAGCGCCTGTGGAGAAGCCCTGGGTACATTGTTGGGCACACTGTCCTTGGTGGATTTCGTCGATACCATCGAGGTTTTACTCCGAAGACCGAGTGACGACCTTCGACGGAAAGTCCTGAAGCTCCTTGAGAGCCGCCTAGACTCTAATAACGATAGGGACAAGACGTCACAGATCAGAGTGCTATCCTTCTTGCCTGTTCTGGTTGGCATCATTGAAACATCTCCAGATATCCTGTTAAAACATGCAGCCGTTGCTTGCATCGAAAAGATCGGAGAGAAGTATGGCAAGAAGGATCCCCAGCAAGTTGTTGCAGCTGCAAAGGTTATTTCTGGCGAACACTGCATCGGACTACCCGATGGACGGATCAGGGTGATGGGACTACTTTGTCTTGCTTCGATGGCAGAGGTTCTTGGAGAAGCTATGATTCCAACACTTCCAGAAGCCCTGCCCCGCTCATTTGATTTGTTGCAAAGTGCCCTTGAAAACAGAGGCAACGGTTCGCAGGTTCATGATGCGGTCTATTCGCTAGTTTCTGCACTACTCATTCATGTTCCATGGATGATATCCGGCGACTACCTTGACAGGATTCTTCAGCTTTCGTTCAAATCTTCTGGCGCAGACCTGGGAGAAGAGTCCGATAGTAATCGCCTCGAAGCACTCCAGCTCCTAGCCAAAAGAGTGGATGTGAAAGAAGTGTTCAGTGCTGTCGAACGAAATTGGGAGCCGGCTGTGGAACAAGGCCCGAGCGTAAGTTGAGGACTTTTTTGTTGTCGTGAGACGGAGCATTAACACTATCTCTAGGCTGTTCAAGACGCTCTTGACATTGTCAAGACCGCGATTGAGAAGCACGCTAAATCTGCAACCGTAAAAAACGTTTCTGCTCTTATGAGCCTATTATGCAAGGCTTTCGACTTACGCCGGACTCAGCTATCCTCCTTGAAAGACGATGGATTTGATGAGGTTGACGTCGAGGAGATCGAAAACCAAGCGAATGACGTTGCCATCAAAATGATTTACAAGTTAAATGACACGGTCTTCCGCCCAATCTTTATAGATTTGACCGAATGGGCCACGAGTGGGCTGAGCAAAAATGATACCACTGGACGTGTGGCGAGATTAACCACGTTTTACAGATTTTTAGAGAAATTCTTTGGCACTCTTAAGGTCCGTAGCTCCTTTCGTGGTATAAAAAGTGTTGTTGTCTGCTTTCAGCTAATGATTCCATCTTTATAGTCTATTGTGACTGGATACTCGAGTTATATTATTGACAGTGCCGTCGAAGTGCTCAAATTTGCTCGCTGCAGTGACAAAGCCACGAAGGCGTTGTGGGTCAGTGGCCTGCGTATGCTTCGTAGTTCGTTCGAGCATGACCAAGATGGTATGGAGCGCCATTTTGCTATCGTTTAAACATGCGTTTTCGCTGACGTAGGCCATACAGAATTCTGGCAATCACCAAGCCACCTTGCATCTATCTCTGAACCTTTGATCAAACAGCTTGCTCTAGCGACAAACTTGCCCACGTTCAAGCTTGTTGCTGCTGAAGCGGTCCCTACAATTGTTGAACTTGCGGCAGCAGCTGACTCGCCCGATAACCATAAGGAGCTGAACACAGTGATTATGAAATTCATGCGCGCGGGGCAGAGCGGTGTCCGTGGAGGAGATAATCCATTCACACGTCTAGCGGCACTCAAATGCGAGCAAGCACTGACAGAGCGTTTGGGAGAGGAGTGGCTTGCATTGTTACCTGAGATGTTGCCATACATCAGTGAACTCCTGGAGGATGATGATGAAAAGGTGGAACGAGAGGTGCGGATATGGGTAATGTCGATTGAGGAGATACTCGGAGAAAAGCTGGATGATATGTTGACCTAGAGTGATGTACGTATGTATATGTTGCCTTTTTCCCATTGACGGAGTTCAGGGGCATCGGTAAGTGCCTGGATATCGTTGGGTTCATAAGTTGAGCATTTGTTTAACAAAAGAAGACAATTCAAGATTTACATTTGGCGCAAGAGTCAACGGCGTGCAGTTATCTTCCGTTACATTTCAACAAACAGCTGACCTTGTTCGACATTGCAGCCTACGCTTTATACAGGTGGAGGCGTCAAATCCAGCCCTTGAACCGTCAGCTTGAAGGAATCATTGCGCGAATAGCTTCCAGCAACATCCAGGTCCAACCTGCCCCTCGTACAGTCCTCAAAATCAACTTCAGCGATCTGCAACCCTTCGGCATCGTCATCGTCAACGTTCCAGATGGGACCTGCGAGAACCTTGCCCAAGGGGCTCACGATGCAAGAACCACCGCCGGTAAGGATGGGATCCTCGGAGTCTTCGGTGCCTTTTCGCTGAGAATTGTCGTTGCCCTGTACCCAGTCGGGGAGCTGGCTCTTTCGGACACATTGGTTGCAGGTCAAGACCACAGCTCGACCTTCGAATGCCACAGTCTGCATGAGAGGGAGCCACGTATCACGGCCGTCGGCGGTGGGTGCAAGGTACAGGTTGACGTTTTGTTCGTAGAGACTCTGCCGGAGGAGCGGCATGTAGTTCTCCCAGCAGATTGCCGCGGCCATGGTCAGTTTGACGCCGTCGACTTCAGTGGTTACTGCCTTCAAAGTTGAAGGCGAGCCTTGGGCCCAAACGAGGCGTTCCATTCCGGTCTAGGGAGGTGAGGTAGTTAGTGAATCAATTTGTTGAAAATGCCAAAGGCACTTGGTTGACGGCGGGTGGCTTACGGGCATCACCTTTCTCCTTTTTCCCAAAACCCCACGCTTGGGGTCGACGTATACAACACCGCAATACAGGCTCCCACCGCATCTCTCAATCAAGCCCACGATGATCAACACATCTGTCTCGCGGGAAATGCGTTCCAGCACTTCCCTGGTGCCGTCGCCGCGATGATTCTTCCCTTCAGCGAGCGGAAGTCGTCTGTGAACCCAATCATCTCCTGCTCCGGCAGGCGTGTCGCCAACGTCAACAGCTGCCTGGTAGTAATGCAAATACTGCTGACGGCCGCTGTCCTCACGGCCTCCCATTGCCGCTCCCCAGGTACATGTTCGAGGATATCCGCCAAGGTAGCCTTCGGGAAAGAGGATGATTCTTGCTCCTCTGGATGCCGCGAGGCGGGTGATCCCTTCGAGAGCCTCGAGGGTCTCCTGGAGGGTAGCGCGGGTCCTGGCCTGGGAGACGGCGACCTTTAGTTTCTGAGACATGGTCGACTTGGGAAAAGTGCAGTGACTTGGACAGTATCAATCAGGGACGACACCACCAGTGATATAAGCGCCGGCAAATGCCAGTGCATCTCGGCATTGCTGGCGCAAGAAGGGCGCGGTTTGTCTTGCGGAGATTGACTTGCCGCAGGGGTAAACTCACTGGAGTGCGGGGAATGCATTCCCCCGATTGGAGAGGCGGGGAACAGGCTAGTTACGGGGGACCAGAAGGCCTGTAAATGAGAAAGTGTGGCGGTGCCAGCGGTCGTTCCCCTTCCCCGATTGTTGGGGCTGTCAGGAACGCTCAATGTCAGCTTGGCCCTTTACCAACTCCGTACACTGCGACTCTGAGTGGGCTCTGGCATCCAATGAGTTTGGTCTCAGTATATATCATGCAATATCATGTAATGTTATGAGATGTACTGCATTAGATATATATAACACTTCTCATCTCAATTAGTTATTACTAGCTGCTTCTGGTAGCTCCCACAGAGCTGATGATATTCATGATGAATGGTAGAGCAACCCGCTGATCCGCCCACCGTATCTGTGGTCAGGAGGCATAGCATGTATCAACGGATAAATTACAATTCTAAGCACCGTCTGTCGCTTGTAGAATCGTACTCAAAGATCATCGATAGGAAATCTCCAATGTTCTCGTCCCATACACTCTCGTCACAATACGAGAAGGTGTATCCAGCTCAAGATCAGGCGATGGATATGCACACTGACCGAGCGAGGCAAGAGACTTGACTGATCCGCAGGGCATCGCTTTTCACTAGCACTTGAAGGCGGAACAAGCAAGGAGAGCCGTGAGTTCGTTTCATTCACTGTAATTTGACTCCTCAACTACCGCTCACTCCTTAACAGACGCTGAAAACTGTCCAGCTGATATTTATTAGCATACAATCGACGAGCAAATACGCCGCGCCCAATCCACCAAGACGCCAATGCATAAAATCGAAGATATATCATTAGTAAGCCACCTTGGTACGCATGTCCTGGGTTATCAAAATTAGCCTCAAGCCATGGCGAAACGACATGAGTGATAGGGATCTTACAGATATCTTCCTCTCAATCTCACGAACCGATCGATCCAGTTCTCCGGCAATCATTAATTTTTTGTCATTCGGCAATGTGAAATACGTCTCGCATAGGTCGCCATCAATAGTACCTTTGGCTGGCGCGTAATAGCTCCGGTAAATTAAGTGGTCACGGCCAGCAATCGGAGGCGTTTGTGAAGTAAGCTGCATTTCAAGACTCTGGAAGAAATCCACATCCTCGCGACTAACAAACGGAATTAACATTCCAATCGTACCTTGTAACCCAGTCCAGACTAAGATGTCTCTTCCTCCGGCGACAAGTTGGGTTTTCTGAATACTTGTAGGGATGTCTTGAGGGTAGAAATGAATCATCAAGCTCAGCCTGTTCGGTGCTCCCTGCAGGTATTGCCGTTCATGGATGAGATGTGCTCCAGAGCCATCCTCGTCAGCCTCTTCTGACGCTTTCTGAGGACATCTTAAGAGCCAAAGGTTTCCAAACTTATCCCCACCGGCAACGGTTTCATAATCAACCATTGTTGTGCAAGTAGTCCAACGGGCGATTATGTCGTCTGCAAATGGAATAAGGCGATTTTCCTGATACTTATAGACAACGTAGGTAACACTCTCCTGAACATCGCTCACGATGATGCGGCTGCCTTGTGTTTGAAGCCCGACGATCATCCGCGGCACAACCTCAGCCTGGCACTTGCGGAGGAGCTGCTTCATCCCAAGGTCATAGATTCGCAAATTTGTACCGATACCAGCGAGGAGACGACCTTGGAAGGCTAGAAGTGCTTGAGGTGGAGATTCAACTTTGGTCTTGTGAATAAATTCAAGTTCTTTGCCATCTTCCTGGAATCTATAAATGTGGATATATCCACAAGATGAAGATGGAGGGTTAACCACCATGTCTTTCCCAGTCCCAACCACCAGAAATGTCTCATCGTCTTGGCTGGAGAATGGAACTGCGGCGACGCTAACAGCAGCCTCATTTTCTTCCAATTCGATGCGAGAAAGGACTGTTTTGCTGTTGATTGGATCAACGACTTGGATGCATGATGCCCAGTGACCAGTACCCCGGGAATAGCCAAAATCTTCAGGCGGTAATTCAGAAGCTTCTCCATTTACAGCCTTAGAGTCTTCAAGAAGTTTAGCTTTCGTAGCGGGAGATAAAATATTGTTGTCAGCTCCGATCACATAAAAGAGCGGGTGTTCAGGGTGGCGGACAAAATGTCGCGGGGTATAGGCAAGTGGTATTGTCTCTTGGAGGAGATTATTATCGAGCTTTTCAATAGAGAAGATCCTTTTTTAAATGATTAGCAAAGAAGCAAATAGACAAAAACCTGACAAAACGTGGGAGTGGTAAATGTGGCTTTCAGTAGGAACAATTGGAAAAATAAAATAATGGTTCCGCAATGTCCAATGGACTCGGGAAAAGACGATGGGTCATCATAAAGCGTTTCAACGAGATGCAATTTCATTAGCGAGAGGGATTCGACCATACCTTAAGTTTTGGCCTTGAATTCCAACCATTCCTTCAACGCATTGCTCACTGCTGAAATTCCAGCTCCATTCAAGGGGAACATAATCCAAAGGTGTGAGCATGAAATTTTTCGTCTGTAAATCCGAGTACCCCAACCAGGGCCTTGAACTTAAAGCTAGGACAGCTCTTTGTTCCTTGACCGACACACTGAACAGCTTCACAGGTTTGAGACCCAGGAACCGCGTACGTGTATCCGAGAGCTCGCCGGTAACTTCGTCTAGTACCGTGCGAAGATATATTCCAGAATACAGTCCGATATGGAGGTAGAGTGTGGAACCACCCGAAGTGGAGTCAATCATAGACATTATCGAGAGGGCGGATGGTGCAGACGTTAGAGCCTGGACTGATTTGTTTTCTAGTGTTGAGTCTGGGTCCAGGCTCAAGATGCGAACAGTTGAATCATCACATCCGACGGCAAGGAATGAGCTTCTAACACGACCAGGGAGAATCTCTCCCAAGCTGAGACAGGTAACAGTTCCGGACATTTCTCGCTTTTCGTCATATTCTGCGAGGGAGCCATCGGTGTCCATTTCAAAATACACGATCTCTCCGGAGCTAAGCGCGACCGCAACCTGCCTTTCGTTTGTGGCCGCTGCGACAATCGATCTGTGTTGTGGCGCCGGCCATTCGTTCACCCTACGATCAGCATGGATGTGGCGAATACCTTTGGGATGAACCTGAATGAGCGAGTCTTCACCAAGTTGTTGCACTGCCAACGTCGGCGCAGAGGAGAGAAACCCTGTGTCTGTGACTTCTTCGACAGTTTCACCTATACTCAGAACTAAAGTTCCGTTGGTAAACGATAAGATGATGTATGCATCATACTGATCGTTTCGGGTAAGCTTGGTGGTCCAGACGGCTGACGGCACGCTGGGTAATTCAGACTCAACGATCTCTGACACTTCTAGGCCATGTTTCAGAGTTCTGAAAGTGCTCCGCGCACCGGTACCACATAGGGTATAGAGTTGAGGGGCATCGTCTTCTGTAAGGTTCGCAACCTTGCAACTCATGAGAGGATTTACTGAATTGATGCTTTCAACCAAGTTCAGGTTCTCTGCGGGTCGTGGGCGGAAATATACTGGCGCAAGCGGCTCCAATGGGTCTGACGAGAAATCGTCACTTGTAAATTCTGTTTCTTCGTCGTCATCACCCAATTTTTCGAACTGATAGAAATGGTGGTTGCCGTTCTCGCTAGCCACAAAAAGGAAGCCATTCTTGAGAATGCAAAGGCTGGATGCGATTGGTACAGTGTCAAAGTACTTGAGTTTCAATCTTCTTACTTCGCCAGTAGGCTGACCATTGTCATCCTCAACCATATCTATGGTGACTTTGAAAAGATCCCCATCTTCGGTTTGCAAGAGACAGAAGAATGCCCTTCGCATTTTATGAACAACGCCAGCGGTGATGTATCTCTTTCGGTCTGGGTTTTCAGTGGGCCCGCTCCGGCGCGGAATTGGAACCCTGAAAACATCTTGATTCGAGTGCCGATAGGTGATGTTGCCCTCGGCACAAACCAGGACACCGCTCGGACCATCTGCTCCGCCCGGCACTTGAAAAAGCATCATGGCTGTACGATCAACCGGTTCCACCCATTTCCGAACAACATGGTTTAATCCAAGATCAAGTTCGTAGTAGACGAGCAGCTTTTCGCTTTCTTCATATGCGCTACCCGTCGGATCTTGGTCGGATTCTGTGTATTCCACTTCGAGTGCTCCAAAGATCGGATTTTCATAGCCAACGTCGAGCGCCGTGAGCGCAAACACTATGGTTTGAGGTCGATGCGCTTCAAGTGGCGAGGAAATAGTAAGCTCTGCTTGAGCATTTCGGTTAAGAACGTAGACTAGCTTGTTTTTTTCCACAGATGCTATCAAGCATGCCCTGCCCTTTGGATCTACCGCAAGATACTGGCCGGGAACGACTCGCCGAATACCGGATTTGCCAAATGTCTCCAAGTGAATGCGATTGAATCGATTTTGGGACGGGACATACTCGACAATGGTAATCCGGCCAGAATCAGAGCCGATAATAATATAGTCTAACGACACAAACACTTAGCATCACTCAACAAACGCACTGAGCGAGGACACAGCGACAAGCCCTTTCGCATGGAAGACAACTTGGGCGGGACGAAATGAGGACGTCATGCTGCTCCCAAAGCTTCGAAGAATCACTAAATTGGCCTTTGACAATTGAGTTGGGCGTAAACGTACCCTTGTTGCTCCCTGCAAGCCTGAACGCCGCCAATGACCTAATGATCCCAAACACATCCTGCGAGTACAGAGCTCGAATTTTGCCCTGATGTGAATCCGGCTCGTGGATTGATAGCCTCGAGCCAGAAGCAATGACGATCTGCTGCTCCTTGATCCCCGCAAATTGGCCGATGATCGCCTGAGTGATAGCGGTGGGCGGTTGGATCGTCAGGGAGTACATAAACATCGACGAGGTCGTCGCCATGGCTGCTGCGGACGGGCACCCCTGCGGTGCACTACCAGCTTTAAAAGAATTGCCGCAATCTCATAGGGAATGTAAGGAGTATCGCACGAGTTGCTGAGCAAAAAGCAATGGTTTTGCGTGCGGGTTGGGCGAGGACTGGGAAGCTTGAAAATTTTCGATGGTGGTTTGGGATGAGGTGAGGTTGAGGAAGTTCTTTTGACTTCGATGCGCGTCGAGCATGCCTGGGCCGCCGTAGCCGCAGCGCCAAAGGAGTGAGATCACTTTGCCCGCCGCGGTGCCTCAACAAGACGCTTCTCTCTCCGCCTCCCAGCAACATCTCCCGCGAATCTATTGGGGTTTTACGTCTCTCTTTGAAGGAATCTATACTCTCCAAGCTACGTCTTGACACGTTGAACTCCCCTGAGCCGATATCTGTCGTCCTCTGCCCCGCCCGGCACTTTGGGTGGCCTGCATCTCTACCATGGCGACCAACAGCGAAGCTGGAGAAGAGGCGCCGATTAATTTCTCAGTCAAGACCGCTAACGGTGCAAAATATTCACTATCAGTAGTACCTTTCGACAACGATCGAAAGTCTAAAAGTCAAGCTCTCGGGGCCGGATTACGCGGATGTTCCACCTACACGCCAGCGCCTGATATATTCTGGCAGGGTATTGAAAGACCATGATACGCTTGCGGTGTATAATGTGAAAGATGGTCATACAATTCATCTAGTGAAAAGCGCTGCGAGCAATCAGCCGCCAACGCAGGCTTCCCAGAGCGCCAGTGGAACCCCTGGTCGTTCCACACCACAGGGTCCGCCACCCGGCGTTCCGACAAATATCGCAGCTGGGACAGGAAACAACCCGCTGGCAGGGCTCACTGGAGCAAGATTCGCTGGCTACAATATGCCTCTTCCAGGAGCAGGATTATTTGGACCTGACGGTGGAGTAAGTTGCGATGCCTTTCCACAGAGTTCCCAACTCCGGCTAATGTCTACTTTCCACTTAGATGGGCCCACCTCCTAACACCGAGCAATTAATAAACATGCTGGAGAATCCTCAATTCTCTTCCATGATGAATGAAGCCCTTCAGAATCCCCAGCTCCTTGACATGATGATACGGCAAAACCCAATGCTCCGCGATATGGGCCCCGGTGTTAGACAGATGATGCAATCGCCGGCATTCCGCAGGATGCTGACCGACCCTAATATTCTTCGTCAAATGGCACAGATGCAGACACAATTTGGTTTGAGTCCGTTAGGGGGGGCTGGAGGAGAGAACGCAAGCTTCCCTGCCCCGGGAGTCACAAATACCACACCCGAGGAGCATCGCCAACAGGAAAGTACCCAAGGTGTCAATACTGGAAATAATGCAGGAAACGCCCCGAATCCTTTTGGGCTTTTTGGGTTTCCACTCGCCCAAAACACAGCGGGGAATCCATTCGCCTCACTTTTTGGCAATCCAGAGTTTGGAGGTACTGCAACGGGCAATGATACTTCGCCTACAGGTGCCACGGGTAATTCAACGTCCCGCGAAACCACTTCAGCTGGAAACACTGCTCCTACAGGAGCAACTGGCGGCACGCCATCGAGCCAGAATCAACCAAATCCGTTTGCGGCCCTGTTTAACCCGACTCTATCCGCCCCGCCGGCTGGCCAAAACCCCAGCCAACAACCTCAGCATCCTTCTGCAGCCATTGCGAACAGTCCCTTTTTACAAGACCCAGCTTTACTCAGTCAATTACTGCAAACATTTGGCGGTAATCAGAATCCTTCAAACACCGAAGCAGGCGCCAATCCGTTTGGAATGCTTTTCCCCGGCTTAATGGGCCAAGGCAGCCCCTCTCCTCAGGATAATCGTCCGCCGGAGGAAAGGTATGCCGAGCAACTTCGCCAATTAAACGACATGGGTTTCTATGAGTTCGAGCGGAATATCGAGGCATTGAGAAGAACGGGGGGGAGCGTGCAAGGAGCTGTTGAATATCTACTGAACAATACATAAAAAAATACTTTAAATCAATATGCTCTTGCTAAGATAGCAGATGTATCCTTGGCCTTGGGTTTTGTGCTACGCTTTGCGACTTTTTGACGAATCATTTTCCGCATTTCTCAGGTTCTTGTTTGTATGTTTGTGTATTAACTACTCGACATGCTATTTGCTGCATTGAAAACCCAGCCTAATACATTAGGTCATAGGCAGCATAAAAATGTCTGCCGCCACATGCTCCTTGGGCTGTATCTCGCGGGTGCTGAATAATCATCGTCAGGGGAGAAGTGCAACTCATAACTAAGTTAACTCCCGCTCAACTCTCAAGGATCGAATATCCCGGTCTTCGCAATGCCGAATTGCAACCATTGACTGCTGCACTCGATCTGCTCCGTACCCGCCTGCCATCTCTCGGCCTGCTGTGTCGTCGGATACTTGGCAATGGCACTCTGCGTCTTATCTGCGGACTGACGCTTTATGTAACTCGCACCGCCGCCGATCCCACCCTTTTCCCTTCGCCCTTTGGCATCGCGTTACGCTCGCTATTCCGATCCCGCATCGTTCTTTTCCTCGACTTCCAGTCTCTCTTTTTGGGTGTCTCTGACCTTCTTGCGTTGAGGTTTCGAGACGAATCGCTGGATAGGTTACACAGCGCTCTAGTTAATCAAAGCCCCTTGGTGTTGCCTTTTCGGCACCTCCACCAACATGACAGTCGGCGTTCGACTATGGCCCTGGTTGGCTGCTCTCATGACTGTGCTATCGACTGTTCGGGCTTTTTATATACCTGGTATGCGATCCAAGTATTTCGACTGGGAATGCCCGCTTCGCGAATAGAAGATGAACTGGCTGACAGAGTCATCTACATGGCAGGCTATTCTATTCGGAGTTACCGTGATAACGACGCCATTCCGGTGTTTGTGAATAAGATATTCTCTGACGACTCGCAGCTCCAATATGCGTACTTCGATCTCCCATTTGTCTGCCCTCCAAGTGGTAAAAAGCATGGAACCTCCGCCTTTGCTAGCGGGCATAGTATCTCGCTCAATCTCGGAGAAGTCCTTCGAGGCGATCGTATCAGAATTTCCGATTTTGAAGTAACGATGGGAAAAGATGTTTCTTGCCAACTCCTTTGTCATAAGGAGATCAATCGCAACGACGTTAAACGTGCGAGGCAGCTCATTTCGGATGGCTATGTTGTGGAGTGGATTATGGACAATTTACCTGGTGCAACGAGCTTCGTTTCCGTTGATAGATCAAAACGGTACTACTCCACGGGATTCAAACTCGGCTACCAGGATTTCTCGCCTTCCAGCCGTCATCCCAGATATTTCCTCCATAACCATTTCACTTTCGTGATCCGCTGGCGGAATGCCCCTGGAAAGGCCGGGGCACATGGTGGCAAGGTCATCGTCGGGTTTGAGGTTTACCCCAAAAGCGTCGGGGACGTTGGTAGGTCTGCTGATGGGTGCCCGAAAGAAATCCACGCCAAGCAGGAACGCTTGGAGCTGTACATCGCTCCGAACAATACTAGACTGGCAGAGAAATATCCTGGCTCCTCATACTTACCCGAAAACGACGACGACGCTGATGATGGCGCATCGATCACTGTCCCGTATTCATATTCTGTCTATTTTCGAAAGGAGGAGCATATTGGATGGTCGAACCGATGGGATTTATATTTCTATACCCACCAAGATGGAAAAATGACGCATTGGCTTGCGATCCTGAATTCTCTGACCATCTCAGCTGTATTGGGCTTTATGGTGCTGGTCATCTGGGGACGAACACTTGCAGACGGAAATGGATCTGTGGAAGAAGGAAAACTGAAATTATCCGGGCTGAGAAGCGGAGCTCGAACTCCAAGGACCCCAAGGTTTGACGAAAAGCTACCCGGCGGACTTCTTGATCAAGGTATTGAAGATGACTTGAACGACCGCTTCTCCGACGACGAGCTGGACGAAGTGGCATCCTGGAAGCGTCTCCACGGTGATGTCTTCCGTGTTCCTGCATATAGCGGACTTTTGGCACCTTTGATTGGGTCAGGCATGCAACTCCTTTTCATGGCAACCGGTCTGCTCGCCTTGAGCTGCATTGGCGTTCTTAATCCTAGCTTTCGAGGTGGATTTGTGAGCGTCGGTATGGGTTTGTTCGTGTTCGCTGGTATATTTTCAGGTTACTTTTCCGGAAGACTGTACAAAACATTCGGAGGAAGGAATTGGCGGAAGAATACCCTCATTGTACGTTTGATACGTTTCTTTTTGATTTGCTTCTGCGGCCGCTAACGAAACATCCTAGACGGCGCTACTATTCCCTGGTCTGCTCTTCGCTTTCGTATTTCTCCTCAACTTGTTTGTCTGGGCTCAAGCATCTAGTACCGCAATCCCATTCGGCACTCTGGTCGGCCTAGTTGCTTTATGGCTTCTGATCCAAGTCCCGTTGGTTTACGCCGGTAGCTGGTACGGCTATGAGAGAGCAACACCCTGGGAGCATCCCACCCGCACGAATGCGATTCCTAGACAAATTCCGCCACAGTCATGGTATTTGAGGACAATCCAAGGAACGCTTCTAACTGGGCTTCCCGCATTCGCTGTTCTTTTTGTCGAATTGCTCTTCGTTTTCCGGAATCTTATGCAAGATAAGAGCGGGTACTACTATGTTTTTGGCTATCTGAGCGTCATCTGCACGGTCCTTCTTGTCACCGTCAGTGAAGTGACAATCATCGCCACCTATGCTCAACTTTGTGCGGAGAATCACCGGTGGTGGTGGCAGAGCTTTGTTACCGGAGGAAGCAGCGCGCTTTGGATCTTCATTTCTTGTGTTTGGTATTATTTGACGAAACTCCACGTGCGAGGATTCGTTTCGAGCCTGCTTTTCTTCGGATATAGCTTCCTTGGCTGCGCTGTCTATGGTTTGCTCATGGGAACCGTGGGGTTCCTGACAGCGTATACTTTTATTCGCCGTATATATAGGTAAGTTCGTTGACTGCTTTGCGTCAAAAAGTACCCAGAGGTCTCACTCTTTTCTATAGTTCTGTCAAGGCAGACTGATGGCAGGGTTTACGTTCGACCTTCATTTCTCAACCGACAACCGCCAACTTTTTCGCCCAAAGATCACCTGGCGCCAATATGAACCAAATATTAGATCCCATTGAGGACATGTCTAATGATTCTCATCATTTATCAAAACGTTTCGACATAAAGAAAAGCAACGAATTAGGAGCCATGTTTACCCCTTTATTTTCTCCGCTCCTTGATTGGATTTCTCTTCATTTCTGCCTTCTAGCCTTCAACTCGTAACTCGCCAATATCCCCTCTATTTCCACCCTTAAATTTCAACGTTTATTCACATCGTTGTGTACCCTGTATGTATTCTAGTTCTTCGCCTCTTTTTCCTTCTATTTTGACTTTTACAACTCAATTATGCGACAGCTTGACGCATCTCGTATTAATGCGTGTTTCGGGGCTGGTGGGCGAATTCCTATATGGGTCTGGAGTCGTATTTAGTGGGTAGTACCACTTTTAGGGTCAGGGCGTTCATAACTATTTGCTTAACAGTGGATGGGGGGAGGGATATACTCTAATTGAAGCGATAATAAATATCTTGTTTGAACAATCTCCTCTTTCATAGCCGTTCAATCGTCAGTTTACTACATATGAATGTGCGCCATGGCAGCCGCAACCACTATGGGGGAAAACCCCTGGGGTAATATCTCGGCCAGAACGACAACTGAGAAACATGCAGCAACTCAACAGGGGCCATGAGGAAACTCGTCAATACGACAAATATTTTACGTAGTAGCTAGATCTCAAAAGGGCCGCAGTGTTGCCGTACACCATTCATGAAAGAGCACCTTGCAGAGACACAAAGCCAAAAGGCATGACATTGATATCATGCAAGACTGTTTTAAGCAAAAAAAAGGCGGCCTGAAAACGAGATAACAGCTTGAATTTCGGGCCCATTTTCAAACGCCAAAGTGGGAATCACATCAATAGAAGGTCTATAAAATAACGCCGTTGTATAACGTTGAGATTGCCAATAAAAGCATGGCCAGGAACTCCGATAAACTGCCTTTTAATCAGATCTGCCCCGATTTCTGGAAAAACACGAGGTCCGCGAAAAATTCGGGATAAGGTAAGAAGGACAAGGCCCTGGTGGGAATAGTCCATAGCGAGTAAAATTTCTGAGGTTGAATGGGATCAAAGGTCTCCCCACGCAGCCCTATCTAACCTCCGGCGCCGCCGCTGCGGCGAATTCATTGTTGATATTTCGAGTGTCGGTTCCTCCGTTCTCTTGCGCACCACCACTTCTTCTCCCTTCAAATAATCGCCTCCACCATCTTGGAGGGTCAAGCGGCCTCTGGCCACCATGTAGAGGAGGATAGACATCGGTGAAGAAGAACCAAATGTGGCCAACGATAACGCCACATATCTCATCTTTTGGAATAGTTCCGTGTACAATAAGACTAAACGCCATCAAAACCCAAGGTAGATATGGCGCTGTAAAAACCAGGACACCGAAGAAACTAAGCCTTGTGTCTGGGTTTCGCCGGCCCCAGATGTAAACCAGACTCGAGGATAGTGCGGGTCCCAGGAATGGAACGGAGAGGAAAGGTGACAGGATAAGGAGACTGGAGGAAGCGTATAAAAGGAGCCACGAGAAGTCCGCAGATGAGTGACCCGATGATTCCTCTAGGAGCCGGGAATACCGCTGGAGAAAGAAAACGTGGAACAAGAGGTCTAAATTCAACGGGCCGAAATAAAGGAAATTTGAAAGTAGGCGCCAGTACTAATAGTAAATAAGGTATATGTCAGTATATGCGTTTACAAACTGTGGGGCCTGGAGACCTCACCTGTGCCTTGACAAACACCGCCCTAAAGCTATAGAAGAGCTGGAAAGGCGTCAAAACGTGACATTGTACAAGAACAGACGTTGCGACTGTAGCGGTGGTCCACCATCTCGTACAAGGAGGCATCTCATAGAACCATTGTTCCAGTGGAAATTGACCCGGCTGTCCACCGTTTCCCCAAAGCGCAGCCATAGCGGCTTGCCAACACGGAGGGGCAACACGTATATATAACGTAGGGAACTAATTGACCAGTGAGAAGTGATCCAGGTTCCCTTCAAGATATTTTCAAAGACAACATGTAAGACAAAACGAGGCCGGGGCAAGTGTAACAGAATCGCAAGCTGTCCTCTGGAATGAACAACTATCTCGAAGTTGCGGACTTGATTGAATGTCGCAATTCCGCGACAGGATCTGCTTATGTAACCAAGGCTTGCAGGCGATGACATAATGGTTTACTGGCAAAATATTTATCCGCATAACATTATGTCAGCAGGAAACTTAGATAATCCGGCTATGCGCTAGTCCAATCAGGGCTAGACCACTCGCGTTCGCTGCGCGTTGAAAGAGCTTTTCCAGCTGGCCAATTAGAAGCTGGAACCGCGAGTCGCGTCGTCGCGATGGCTGGGAATGTCCAACCACCGCAATTCGATCGGTGTTCCCTTGATCCTTCACCACGCAATCCATTCTCGAATTAAGGCTCAAGTGAGCTACTACGAAGCTTGATTGACCGGAACCCACCTTTGAGCAGGCCAATTCGTCATAAAAAATTGAGCTTGTGACATTCGATCCGGCCCCAGGTCATTAAACGGGTTCTCGACATGGCTCCAAGGGGTCGCCCGCGCAAAACCGTACCCGGTCGAGCTACGGCTACACAAAGCGGCGCAGGCGAAGGAAGCTCGAGAGATATAGCGCCTGCCGCTGAAGCAACCGCTGCCCCAGCTGCTGCCGCGTCGGCATCGAGTAAAGGAGGGAGGTCGAGTCCAGCAGCCCAGCGCGGAAGAGGCAGAGGAAGAGGCGGCAAAACAGTTCCCGCAAGGAAATCAGACGTACAACGTATGTACTTTCCTGTCATTCACCGCTTGCCCCTGAGATTGCAGGCAGCTCCGCATGAATTGTTCGACATTTTTCCCTAACCCAATTTCTGATCGCAGCCGGTGATCCACTTCCGCCGCCCCGAAAGCACCGTTACCATCCGGGAACAGTCGCCCTTAAAGAAATCCGGCGTTATCAACGCTCTTGGGATCTCCTCCTTCTCAAACTCCCCTTTGCGCGCCTCGTCAGAGAAGTAGCCCTCGATATCTTACCGCCGGAAGTTGGCGAGGAACTGAGATGGCAGTCACAAGCGATTCAAGCCCTACAAGAGGCAGCGGAGGCTTTTCTAGTACATCTTTTCGCCGACACCAATCTATGTGCGATTCACGCCAAGAGAGTAACAATCATGCAAAAGGATATTCAGCTTGCGAGACGGATACGAGGAGCGTGGGGCGGCATCGGTTGAGCCGAATACAAAACCTGACGTTGTGATTTCTGCGACGGACAACTCTTTTCTTTTGCTCTCGAGTTTGTTTGGGTGATTGGAGATGTCAAGTGCTCCCTACCTTGCGTTTGCGGCTCTTTTCGTGCATTTTGGGATCATATACACGCTAGACGGCGTTTCTTTTACGGTCAATTGACCGAGTATCAAAGACATGGCGTTTTGGAAACTGGCGGTTGTTTGCATTTTCTTGCAATTACTCAATGCTACGGCAATGATACTAGTGTTAATGTACGTACATAACTCTGCACATTTGATTGTTTCCCCAATCATGTTATGCATGCTTTTCTTAGCCGCTTTCCAAAGGGGCTCAAATCAGAATAAAACATTATTTTTAAAACCTCATCGGAGGGCTACTGAGAACTCACATAGTGGGAACACCGTAAGATCTAAACATCACTGAAGAATGATAACCCAGCATTCTAACATAGTTGCACAAAAGCTTTCAAGATGCACGTACTTTCGAACGCCGTGGGAAGAATCAACAAACGCCTCGTTAGCAGAATCCCACAATGAACCCAGTAGGCAATAGATTAGCCCAGACATAAAAAACTCCATCATCAGTCTTGACGAACAGTTGCTATATCGTCGTAGACTTCGTTCCATTTTGGCCAAACACCGGTCTAGCGGTTCTGGTTAACACTGGTGGCAGTTTCGCTAAATCCTTGTCTGCCTTTTCTCTCAGAGCTCTCGCTTCACTTGCTTTTCCTTGTCGATCCAAGGTCTCGGCCAGCAACTCATCGGTGACATTGATCCATAATCTATCGTCCGTCTTCCTGGCCATGGCTTTCGCAGCCATAGCACTCTTCTCAGATTGCTCACCAACCACACCGCGGAAGTATTTCCAGCTCATGAAGGTGAGCGCCAAACATGTGACTTGACTATTACATATCGCGGTAGCGGACCGCAGGGATTGGTGAAGATTGCGCTTCGTTTGCATTGTAGATTCAGTGTGAATAGTCGCGCTAACCAAAGAATAAGCGGCTTGAATGTATTTATTCGGGCTGTGCTGGCAAAATGGTTCAAGGGAGCTTAGTGCATTTGCAGCGATTGAGAACGACGGTTGCGAGGTATCGCGGTAAATTAAAACGCAGTTGAGCCCTGCGAGAATTGCGGTATCACGGCGAGGATCATTACGACACGTCCTGTTGGTGGATTGGGATAAAGAGAAGATAGGCTGTTTGAAAATTGCAAGAGCTCCCTTCAAATCTCCTGTAGCCTGCGCGATGACGCCGGTGGCATACTGTATAAGACAATTGATGGTCTCATACGGCTCGTTTCCCAATTCTACCGAAGTAGCTCGCGCCTCTTTCAACATCTTGGTTGCTAGAGGCCAGTCCGTTCGTGCGCAAGCGAGGAAAATCTGCTGAAGCAACATGTGGCAATAAAGCAACCTCCGCCACCGGAAGCGGGTAGAGGCTAACGTGAATGATTCGGGTACCTCCTGGGGGGACTCTAAGCTACCTAATGTCAGATGTCAGCAAGATGCCTTTTATGGATTTAAGAGAGGAACCATTACTTCGGATCATGCGCAAGCCTTCCTGTAGGTACTTCTCAGCTTTGTGCCCATCTTGGGAATTCCTTGCACCGAGAGTGACAGAGCTAAGAAAGTAGCATAACGCGTAGAGATCGGCCTCCGGCAGCCAGTTAAGCACTAGCTCGACGGTTCCATTTGACGCTCGGAGGATATCTCCAAATTCTACGGTTGACTGTTTGATAGCCTCGCTGCTTAGCGAGATTGAAAACGAGCCGTCATCCTGCCATAATGGGCTATTGATGTTCTGATCCATATTTTTCTGAAGTACCTGCAACTTCTGAGAAGCTTGGGCGATATCGTATTCGAGGATACTGCAGCAAATGTCGGCGACTTGAAACATCGTATCAACATGCGGCCCCGCTGCGACACTTTCATTGGTCTGGTGGCTCCTGGCTGTTGCAATGGCCCTTTGTGCCTGTTCTATCGCATCACCGTTAGATGAGTGTTGCAGGTGTGTAAGCGCTTCGATTATCGAGGAAACCACTACGACTGCTTTGTCGCCAGTACGGCTGGCCATAGAGGAAAGTTTCTGTAAATTATGCACCGCTGCAACAAAGTCTTGATGAGACGGAGAGGAAAGAGACAATGTTACTCGTAAAAAACGAAATGCATATTCCCAAGCAATATGGCGGTATCTAGGAGATGTTAGAGCAGAGGTTTTATATAGCCAGTGGGGGGGAGCACTACGCCTCAAGGTCGCGAATAATACCGTCTACGGCCTTCATCGCGGCCTTCGGATTGGATTTATACAATATCCGACATAAAAGCTGTTGCATACTGTATTTCAAGTCAAACATTCTATTCTGCAGGGGAATTAGCATCGTTTCCACAAGATCTCTGTCAAGATCTATCGTACCCGCTCACATAAGTCAATCTAAGGCAGATTTAGCATTGAAATCAAAGGGGGCTTAACGCAGAAGCTATACATACCCCTTTGCTTAATGCAGCTTCAGCTTCCCGATCGTTGTTTGCCTCCTCGTACAGTATGCGCGCATATCGAAGCCGGAGCAGGGCTTCTGTCCGTGGCTGTAGCCTCCAATTCTGACGTACCACTTAGTATTCGTTGAGCAATCAAAGGAAGCATTAAAGGCACTATATCCAGATCTTACTTTCAGCACGGCCTCGAGGCAGCACAGTCCGGTTGCGACCAGTTTGTAGTATCGTTCAACATCTCCCTCCTCGCGCGACGCGGCGAGGATAGTTCCCTGGCTGTGCGCCGCATCAAAGTATTCGTCTGCGAGCGACAATAGGAGCACTTGATAATCAATTGACTGCTTCTCGCTCTTATTACGCGCTTTGGCAGGAGTGGGTTGTTTCGCGACGGGAGGCATATGTTGCGGAGCGCGATCGCGTGATCTAGCCGGGGCTGTGGGATTGTTCCCGCCTTTGGAGCTGGTAGACAGTCTTTGGACTTGTGAAATGGGTGGCGGGCGAATCTGAATTTGAGGGTATGGCGATTTTGAAGCTGGACTGGGGACGGGCTGAGACTGAGGTTGAGGTCGGGGCGGCGGAGGAGCTTGGTATTGTGGGTGTGGTGGCGGGTACATATCGGATGGATGTGGAAGGCTGTAGTAAGCCCCGGGTGCGGCAGGAACAGCGCCATACTGGAAAGGCACCTTTGGCGGGGCGGGGCGGAGGTGGTTTACCGGACGAGGCGGATATGTGGTTGCGGAGGGACTGCCGGGGAACGGTTGAGGTTGGAGGTGTTGTTGCGGCGAAGGGTAGGGAGTAAACTGCGCCAGCGGTATCTGAGGGCTTTGCTCCGGCTTGATCAATGCTGGTAACGCGAGAGGGGAGGCGGCCGGGCGATTTGGTTGCTGGTGAGCTTCTTGGAGCGGAGGCTGCCCAGGGAAGAAAGGGCCGCCATGAGGGGGTGGATAGGCCATTTCTTTCAAAGATCGTTTAACAAAAGCTACGGCATTTCAATTTAAAGCACAAAGCCATCTCCATCATCCACGGAGCACAAGCAAAATCATTTAGCAACTGTGTTCTCCTGGCTCCCAGCGGCGGAACCGGCCATTCAGCAACCACGTGATTGCCATCGGGCGAGTCACTGCCAAGCCTTGATATTCAGATCCTGGAGGGCGGAAAGAGAAGAGGTTTTGTATTGAATCGACCATTTTGAATTTGATATGCTCGCACATGTCCCCCTCCTAGCATGTCCTATGTCCACTGATTATTGTACTAAGAGCACTCATTTTGATGGAGTGGTTGAGCTTTGAAACGACACATTTCAGAAGCTACATATAGGCTGATGATTGCCGGTGGATAACCTTCAAACAACATCTGAACGGGACTGATACCTTCGATAGCCAATTCCCAACTCAACAGTATCATATCCGCTTATCCATGGCAATGGTGAATCCCTCGACGCAGCGGTAAGCGGCAGCAGACACGACCATTTTTCCCCAATGTCCCTTAGTCAACCATCTTCATCGAAATTTGTTCGTTTATCAATGCATTACCGATGTTCCACGAAATACAGACTTTCTTCTCCATCGTTGTGTACCACGCGATATATCGAACTGTTAGATGGTCACCTGTTCGCCACTAGCATGAGGCCATTGTTTTGGACAACATTTTGTCGCAGAGCACAAATTCTCCGCCTTTCCAGAACTAAGCGGCGTTAGAAGCTCGGAGGTATGATTGTACTCTGAGTGCGGTTTAGTGAAGATCGTGTATCATATGCACCGTAGAACAAGGTCGATAACACCAAAAAATATATCACGATCAGCGTCTGGCTTGTCCAATCCAAGTCCAACAACAAGAAGCCGTTTCTCGGTGGGGTTTTTGGTTGCTATTGCGCTAGCGATTTGACAGGCGTATAAATGGCCAATGGGCCTCCCAATCAGGCGAGCGTCCACCCAGCACAGTGGTCGCCGTAAGTTCAGCAAGAGGTAGCAAGCTATCATCTCCTTCTTCAGCGATAGTATGATATCCACCGGTTCCCGGGTTCGTGTTCTCTAAGGGGACATGAAGCTGGTGCAGATTAGTTTGCTGGAGAGAGAACGAAAAATGCCGTCGGCTTCAAGCATACCCAGTGAGCGAGTCTTCCGTGCTGCGATATCGTCACAAGAAGTTTATCCGAGAATGATACCGTCATTACATCCGTCTGGACGCCTCCGACACAACCCCCCGCCTGCTTGGTTTGGGCGGGAAAAGGCATGTCCGCGGGCGCGGCGGTCTGGTTGGCAATTCCCTCCATTAGGATTCTATAGAACTCAAACAGAGAAAGTCAGGAGGCATTGAATTAGTATCGCCAACAAAACCTGCTGAGCAATGGACGGGATCACTTGAGCTGTCGTCAAGCGTTGATCGCCGAGCAGTGGGTTGTGGGGCAGCAAGCTTCAACACCTCCGAGTTCACCGCCCCGTGGCAGAATAATATTTCAGTGCAAACTCGCGACAGTGATGGAAGGAGGAGAAGGGGCAGATAGGTTAATATCTTCTCTGTTCTCCATTCAAAATGCCGAAATTTGTTCCTAGGCAACGGAAGCACAAAGTGTTAGCTCGAGAGAACAAGCCATCTACGCCGCAAGAGGACTCCAATGCTGTCGAAGTCCTGCCGGTCTCCAAGGCGGAGCGGGGAGGAAAAGAAGAGACTTCTAAAAGAAGAGCTGAGAGCACAGCAACCAAAAATATCGAGTAAAAAGCAGAAGCGTCTGGACAAATACATCGTATGCTGTAGACTCATGTCCCTTCCGTGACATTCATTGAGCTGACAATCGTCGTCGCTAGGAAAACAAACTGAAAAAGGATGAAAGTCAATCGCTGGA